TTCTCATCTTATACTATGTTTAAGACTTCCGTCAACACCTCTGATGATCTTCCATTCTCAGTCACTTCTTATGCATTTCTTAATTCCTATATTACATTTAATTATCTTTAACTAATAGTTCTCCTCATAGTCTTTCTTGCAAAATTTCTAATAATTCACCTTACAAAACTTCTTGCAATCCTACTAGCGTAATCTGTTCATCACAATTGCTTTTCAAATAGTTTGTAAATTTTCTCCAGTCTTCTGAGAATCTCTGGTCCCACAAGTTATGAATCCTTCCTGTCAATCTATCCAACTCTGCATAGTCCATCAATTTCATCCTCCACTCTTCCTTCATCAGTAATTCCTCTTGTTTCCATTTTTGTGCCAATAATATTCTTGCCGCTGTCATTCCATATAAAAACAACTTATAATTCTGTCTGTTATTTCATCTGGAGCTTGGGATCAATTCGACCCCGTCTTCATGGTTATCAATAAAAGGCATTTAATTGGAATCTAGGAAGCAGTCTATGTCATTGGTCCATTTAGCTCAATTGGTACATTACATTTTTCAGATGCTGGAGCGTGTTTGAACATAGATTATTAAAATGCCTGCACTGAATTTTCACATCCAGAAAGATGGAGGAGAAACTGATTCTGTTCACAAATTTAATGAAAAGCTGCCTAATTCACACTCCCCGAACCACTAAGCAAGTCAAGAAGCAGACTGAAACATGGGTATCCTTTGAAATGCACACTTCTCCTAATTTTGTGGTGCAATTCTCCAACCTCTAAGTGTGTGTATTAGTGAAAACAGAGCACAAATGAAATTATATTAGGGGCAATGGATTGCAGAAAGTTATATATGGGTTCAAATGGCTCACAAATTGCATATATTAGGGAAAATCCCCCCCCCACATATGCATATGGATACATGTGCAGATTTTTAAAAAGAAAAAAATAACGAATTGATGCAGAAATGGGTTCAACTGAAGATCAGAAAAATAAGAAGCTCAAAGAATCCAAAACCAACAGATTCATTCATCTCCACACATACATTTACGCCTGCAAGCATGGGATACACATGAGCCCTATGCACACTTTACTTCTGTGTAGAGGCGTGATAGATTCATTCGGGAGCAAGCAGGTCTGCACTCTTATCCCTTCCTCCAACATCACATCTGTTTCCTTCAGCAACCACACATTGCGCACGGCGGTCTGCAAAGCAATTCTACCACACAAGCACATGGCCCTGTGTGAGCCGGACAACTGCACAGCCAAAGCAGTCGCACATGCAAAACAGTCGTGCATGTGGAGCATGTAGGAAGGAGCACATTAAACTCTGCCCCCTGCCTCGCCATCCCTGTCACCCTCCAATTTATGGAGGGCGACGATGTTCCTCTCGGCCAGCCTCTTTCTTCACTTTTTCTCCCACAACAGGAAGCTCACGCTCTGCAAATTGTGGCCTTGGCCTATCACTCAATGGCATCAGAGTTGCTGCTCCAGGACAAGAAAACAAAGAAAAATGAGCAGGTCCCTGAGAGGCTCGTCTGCAGCCATCTAATCCGGTATAACTTCCTGTTTTCTTTTGTAACTGGATGAGGAGAAACAGAGGAACAAATAATCTGAGCTTCTGACTTGCTGTTCTTGGCGTTTGGCTTTCCTGACAAACCCAATTCAGCAGTGGTCAGAATACGTTCCCCGTTCCAGCCACAACCGCCGCTAGACCTGGTCAACATCAGACTTTAATGTATTTTGTTTATTACAAGGAAGCTGTTACAAAGTGTACTATTTGGCTTTGCCCAGCAAAAACACAACTCAGGGACGTCCAAAGTGGCCAGCTTGAAATACTGTTTAAAAACTATACGTGCACAGACAAACTAGTTCCTGAAAAATGATGAGAAGAGCTGGGAAATCATGAGGGGATTGAGATGTACTATTCAGTTCTTTGGTTGCTGTCTGATCCCTCCCCTTGGATTTTGTTGCAATAAAACAATTACCTTTTTCAATTCAACAGATAGTAATTACTTGTGGCACAGGAGACTGGCAGCTTTGTTTATTACAGTGGTACCTTGGGTTAAGTAATTAATTCGTTTCGGAGGTCCGTACTTAACCTGAAACTGTTCTTAACCTGAAGCACCACTTTAGCTAATGGGGCCTCCCGCTGCCACCACACCGCCGAAGCACGATTTCTGTTCTCATCCTAAAGCAAAGTTCTTAACCTGAAGCACTATTTCTGGGTTAGCGGAGTCTGTAACCTGAAGTGTATGTAACCCGAGGTATCACTGTATACAGAACACAGGCTGGTGAAGCATTCTGTGCAATCTGCAAGCTTGCACCTTGTCCTATAACAAGTATCATCTGACCTGTTACTATCTTTTCTTTCCTGGAACCAGAACCATCAAGATCTATGCCATGAAATTCTCTGGCCTTTGTTTCATGGCCATAGAGGTCAGAAATATTTGCAACTGCTGGAGATAAACAACTAAAACCACAAGGATCATCGTAATATTATGACTTTTGGCATTTCTTACTGTTTTTCTGTCATTACTGGTCTAACAGGCATTCAAAAAGCTCTGGTGATCAGATAATCTAAAATTATTGCAAATCCCAGAGCAAGGCTTAGCCAGAATCTGCAATGGCAGGAGTTGGATATTTGAGAACCAATTGCATCATCTTCCCCCCTCCCCACACACACCTCAATCCATGCTACCATCCTTTAAGTACCATGATGACATTTCTTAATTAATTCCTCCAGGCTTCTTCCAATTTGGACTAAAATAAATAAGGAAATATGGCACACAGCTGAAATGAATTGGCCATATTGTCTTTGCATGTAAAATTTGATTATTTGTACAACTGAATGCATAACTGAATTTGACATTTCCATTTGTTTAAAAGCTCCAGAACACATTCCCTTCACTTTTGTTGGTGCTTTGCAACTTCCTCAGGGCACAGACCAGTCAAAGGTAAGTACTCTGGAGTCCCACTGATTTTACTGGGACAAGCTGAACACATGCTTAAATCTTTCCTGTCGAAATGAATGGGACTTTAAAGTGCTTAACTTTGTGCCCATTGATTTGAGCCTGAGAGTTAAGCTGATGATAAAAGTGCTCAGAACGACTTCTACGGGGACCTAAAAACATTCAATTTGGATGTCATATTGCATGACATAACCAAATCCGGCATAAACACTTGATACGGAGAGGCAGGAGAAAAGGGAACAACTCTACTGAGTTATTAAATAGAGATAATCGAACCATGAATGCAGAAATAGTATTACCCATGCTTCAGTAAGAATAAGTATAGATTCTGAAATGTCGATTGCAAGCTCTCTGGGCAAGAAATATGCCACTTCTGCTTTCTATTATTTATTTTTTAAAATAGGGTTTACAAAAAACATAATACAAAGATTATTGTCAAATAGATATATTTTTTAATCCAGACTAAAACATTACTCTAAAGGCAAAAAAGAGAAAGGGAAGGAAGGAAGGAAGGAAGGAAGGGGAAGAGATAGAGAAAAATGAATAGAAAAATATTTAAGAGAGAGAGAGAGAGAGAGAGAGAGAGAAGTTAAACTAAAGAACTTCTGATTCTTCATCTGTCTGCTTTATATAAAAATTATTCACTTTATCCACTCCAGTATAACACCAAATAAAGCCACTTTCTATATTCCATTATCTTCAATCCTCAAATAAATCCAAATGTCATTATTTCTTTTTCTTTTTCACGCAAAAAGTCTGTGAGAGGTTTCCAATCTTTAGCAAATGTTAGCAGTAACTTTTCTCTGATTAAACATGTCCATTTCACCATTTCAGCTAAGTCCATTCATTTTCTACTTTCTCTAAAGCACTCAATATAGCACTAATCACTTTAAAAAGGCAACCGCCATAAATCCAAAAATTCAAATTACAGCTCATTCATTTAATATAAAGTTTGCTTCGGGTTTTTATTTTATAGCTGGTGTGTTTTATTCTTCCGCTCAAATATCATAGGATATTATATATTAGCATGTGTTTATTTTTACAAGATAAGCCTTTCCCCCTGAACCATATGCTACAGGGCAGGCTAACACATTGGGCTTGAAATGCAGCGTGAGTCTGAGCAAATGTCTCCGGTTCCCCAGAAGTGTAGCTGAGAACATCAGATCACTGCCTAGGGATGAACTTGTACTTTGCTACCCTGTATCAGCAAAGTCATTTACTGCTGCCTGGCAGCCAGTTCCATCAACGACACAACATCCACAGCTTAATATTGTATGACGCTGTGGTTAAGGACTTCAAAGGAGATGGGATTATTGTCTAATTGGATTTCTGTTCCCAATTAGGAAAAAGGGGGAAGTCAAATCCAAGGCTGACATGGAAAGCTTTAAACATCTGTAACAACTGCTGGATAATTTATGGAGTACCCATCACATAATTTGTAACCTGGAATCAGATGTTTGCCTAGAGGTGCATTGTGTGTCTACTTTTTCTTAAATGTGCATGCATTTGTTTTCTCAAAATAGTTTCCAAACAATCTTTAAGGGGGGGTGGAAACACCCCACAATGCTTCTCTCCATGCCCCAGTTAAAAACCACGCAATTAGAAGGATCAGCAATGGGAGGATTTGCGTTTCAAAACCAATCCCTACTCTCTTCCTGCTTCCAAATGAAAATTAGACATAGCAGCACATGTTTGACTTTAAGGAAGATGAAGGGGGGTAATGACTCCCTCCCCCTTCCCTCCGCAGGTAGGTATCTTGGTTGAGAAGCCGCAGGAAAGCCCGATAGGCTTAAAATTGAAATCAAACCAAGATTTGAAACTAACAAGCAGTTTAAAGTAAGGATTTTGGTGTCGGCCACATGTTGCAAATCAGGGGGATCATGTGAGGCTAATTATTCCAGCCCAAGGGTTTGAATGAATGCTGAAGCATTTCCACATGATAGTCAAAGAGGTGGCTAACCCTGGAAGCGACTGGGGAATGTGTCTGTACTGGGGGCGAGGGGAGAGATCATGTGCCACTACGCATAGGAATACAGGATGCAGATCAGCAAGCAGCGTGCATGCATGGACGCAGAAGGAAAAGCAGTAGCAAATGACAAGGCAGTGAGAATTAAACGATGGGCTAATCAAGGGCAGGTTTGTCACCAGGAAGCCTGAGGTAATAGTCTGGGGTGGGGGTTTTTTTCCTGCTGCAGCAGCGAATAAAAAGGACTTTCCCTATAAAAGTATGGGCCTTGGTTCACATGCCAAAGGGGTAACTCCACAGTGCATGTAAACCAAATGTAAACAAATACTGCACTCCAACTCTAGATATTATCAGAACGTGGAGCGGGTGGGTGCACCACTCCAGATTTGTGTATGGTTTACTCCTTAGCCTTTTCTTCTTCTTGGGTCATAGTAGTGGTCCATCATTCAAGTCCAATGAGGTCTACTCATAACGCCTAGAGCTTCAAAAGTGGAAGGTATTCCTGCTCTCTGCATTCTCCTGAACAGTAGACAGACAATTTAATGTCATACAATACATCAAGGCTGTTCTGAAAGAACCTGGAAAGAATCGTAAAGGATCTTTGTACCCAGCCCATCCCCAGGGGTAGCTCAAGACATTTTTCTGCCTGAGGCAAAAGACAAGATGGCTTATCTCCCACGTTTCCCCAAACAAAAGCCAATGAGACTGACAACTGAATACTACAACTCCACCATACCTGAATGCAGCAGAATGTAGCACACACAACTTATCAGCCCCAAGCCCCTCAGAATCTGACACATGAGGCAGCTGCCTCACTCTACCTAATGATAGGACCGGAGTCACCCCATCCATTCCCCATTGCCCAACCCAATCATTTTCCTCTACCCTGATTTTTGACAGGGTTGTTATTCTCAAGAGCAATAGCCCTGGAAGAAGAAAAGGAACAGGTTCTCTCTCCCTCTGCTTTCTCTGTGAGCAGAAACTGTGAATCAGATTTACATAGCATTCATGTTTATCTTAAGGGCTACAGGCCTCATTGTTTAAATACATGATTTTAAAACTGATGTTTACATCCACTTACAAGCCATAGCACATATTTGCATTGACCGTTTCTGTACCCTTGGGGCTAAGCTATTGTTTTAATCAACTGCCGTATGAAGCCAACTTTCTTAAGAGTTATTCCCTATTTACCTTGATGTTTAACTGGCTAGGTACATTCTTGAGAAATTCATACAGAGAATGCCAACACTGAGCTAAACCCAGGGTTTTTCCCCCCCATATTGGGATTGTTTTTGCATTTGCAAATAAAAATCTAAGATTTGAAATTCCAAATTCTTATCTTTTCCCCCAAAAAGAGATTGTAGTTGAAACAGTGAACTCATCAAGAATGGTGTTCACATTTTTGTTCATAAATTACCTAGATATAGGGAGCCATGTAAACACATATAAACACAGGAAGCTGGCTAAAAATATGAGTTCACCTAATCCAATACTAAAGGCCAAAAGTCTTCTAAGATCTTAGGCATGAGCCCAGTTCTGGTACCAGGCTACTTTGCATCCTAGGCAAGACTAACTACTTGCAGCCCCCATCCTAAATGCTAGCTTCATTTAAAAAACAAAAGTCTCATAGAAATTATAAGATTCTTCAAAATATAAAATAAAAGTAAATTATTATCAGAAATTTATGATATATAACAAAAACTAATCTGTATAAAACTGCACCCCTCTGAAGTCTGCTCCCTGGATGGTTGCTTAGTTAGCCTAAGATTCATGAATCTTTCCAGTACTTGCTACCTGAGATCCTTCTGGAGGTGTCAGGATTTCACTGGATCAGGATGAATGTCTACTATTTTATTCCTGCTCATTATATCTTGGCTATGAAGAGAATTCTGGATGCTCGCTGAATAAATAGCAAACCTGCCAGTCCAACTTAGCCGAATGTGTTGCTGGACTCTTAACTCTCATCAACCCCACCCATTTGACTAGGCCAATGACTAGGGAAGATGGGAGCTGCAGTCCTCTGGTGGGCCACAGATTTTCCCATCCACTGATATCCCTTGTGGCGCTCATCTCCACTTTCAGGCCGAGGGACCCGGCGTTTGTCTGCAGACACCTTTCAGGGTCATGTGGCCAGCATGACGAAGCCACTTCTGGCACAACCGAACACCGTGACGAGTACCAGAGTGCCAAAAACACCATTTACCTTCCTGCTGCAGTAGTACCTATTTAACTACTTGCGCTGGTATGCTTTTGTGCTACTAGGTTGGCAGGAGCTGGGACAAAACGACAGGACAGCATTTTTGAAATACTGACCTTACAGTCAGCAAGCTCAAGAGGTTTGGTGGTTTAGAACACTGCTCCACCTGCACCCCACTGGGTGAGAAGTGTCATATGATGGAGAAAAGGGGATATTTTTAAATACAGTGGTACCTCGGGATAAGTACTTAATTCGTTCCGGAGGTCCGTTCTTAACCTGAAACTATTCTTAACCTGAAGCACCACTTTAGCTAATGGGGCCTCCTGCTGCTGCCGCGTCGCCAGAGCCCGATTTCTGTTCTTAACCTGAAGCACTATTTCTGGGTTAGCGGAGTCTGTAACCTGAAGCGTATGTAACCTGAGGTACCACTGTAAAAACTTTTGACCGAATGAGTCAATAGAGAACACACTGTTGAGAAGAATCAAACAATAACTGAAGACTCGTCCACACTTCTGCGTGTCCCATGCCTAGCTAGCATGGGTCTAAGCTGTTTCCAGCTTGTTCCACCAGTTTCTCAGGGAAATCTCAACCTTAGCACTAAATTGGAGCAAATGTTAATCTGCAGAATACCCAACAAACATTTGCTCTGAGTCAGTGCTAAAGAGTGGCTCTTCCTGCGGGGGGAAGCAGCACTCCAAGTGGAAATCTGAATGAGCCCTCAGCTGATTTCAATCAAATGTTCTTGTGAGTATTTGTAGAGCTTGTGGACATACCAAAAGGGAGAGGCAAAACCGTAACAAAGAATAGATTGGATAGCGGTGAAAATGAAGCAAAGTGTGATCAGGGGAATGCAGGATGTTGTTTGTTTGTTTGTTTGTTTGTTTGTTTGTTTGTTTAACCCTTAACATAATTTATGAATCAGTGCCTTAGGAGTAAGACTGTATACCAAGCTTTCCCAAAGGGAGTGTTAGCGACAAATTCATTCCACCAGCATTGCTCTGGCACTCAAAATGCCTGGCAAGGGAGAGACTGTGAGCCACATCCTTCCAACAAGGCTACAGATCGGATTATGCTGGCATAATTTCCCCTCCTTGGCATAACTCCTGAAACCTCTTCAGGGATCTCCTGTTGCGGTGACAAACACATGCACACGCCCTGGTACAGTCTGGGACTGCAAAGCTCCATCTGCTTGTTAGATCAATTTTGGTTAGCTTCAATTTGCATGTGCAACACTCTGGAGTGCCTGCCCCCGACTGCCGATGTCACAGGGTGTCTGGCACGGTGTGGGGCAACCACATGTTTATGGCATGGGTTATGATGATTAGCTGCAACAAGTGAGGGAGTCCCAACGTTTTCCATCCACAGTACTGAAGCCTGCTCAGTCGCAGCTATTTATAGTCGCCACAAGTAACTCCTATTTCAGCTGAATGACGGACCAGCTCCTCAGCACTGTAAGTATATTTAAATAGCAAAGAAGACACTGGTGTTACGATGGCCAATTCCAGACATTAAAAGCAGCAGCAACAAAATAAGTCCCCCTTATAAATGTTGCTTAAATGTGACGGGATTTGAAGAACTTAATTTTAAGGTAACTGCATTCTTCTGGTTTCTTATGTCTGCTGTTTTCTGCAGTGGCGTAGCGTAGGTTGACAGCACCCGGGGCAAGGCAAGTAATTTGCGCCCCCTAACCCTAACCCCCAGATGTTGCGCCCGGTGCGGCCGGCCCCCCCGCACCCCCCACGCTACGCCACTGGTTTTCTGAGCCTTTTTTGGATTCTCTGAAGTCACACTTTGGAAAACTTCTTTACCAATGCAGAGAGAGAGGGCTTTAGACTTTTGTACTCTTGCAAAAGATAAAGCTGGAACGTTCATTGGTCACAGCAAATTTCTCCATCTGAGGCTTTAGAAAATTCCAATGTTTGAAGTCAGATGATAAGTCAAGTCAAATGGCAAAGAGCTCATGATTAAAACCTGCTGGTGTGAACTGCTAGGATTTTTAACTTCAAGCCCCGTTGAAATGGATGGGATTTGCAGTTGTGCTGATCTGAACACAGACCACACATCTTAACAAGGCACACACAAGAAACTTTTCCTTGTGGGTTGTGCCATTATAATAATAAAGGTGTCAGTGTTTGCGGGGAGTGTATGGTTCCATTCTGCTGCCCGATTTGGGTCTTGGCTGCTTGTCTCACAAAACAGAGTCCATATTCATTTGGGAATATTGTGCTGTAACATAACTGTCAACCATCCCTTATTTGGCGGGAAAGTCCCTTATCCCAGCGCCGTGTCCCACTGCTGTCCCTGATTGATGATGTCCCTTAAATTCCCCGGGTTTCAAAGGAAGCAGCTCCTCTCCCTCCCTCCCTGCCAGCCAGGGAGCAGGGAGGCTCCAACTGTGTTGCTTGGCTGCATTGCTCACCCAATAAGGAGTCTAAAAACGACTGGGGGGTGGAGCTTGCATGCCTTGTGCCAATCAAATAGGCTGCATTGCCTGGGGATTCGCCTTTGCTCAGCGCTTCCCAGCGGAGAGGTGACGGTGGTTTTCCTTGCTGCATCCCCTTTGCCAGGTTGCTGCGCTGTGGGAACCACCACTTGAGGCTTCGTTTGGCTGCTGGCTGGGCTTTCTGCCTTTGACTCGGAGGAGCTCACAAGTTGAACATACCTGTGCTCTGAAAATCCCTTATTTTGGCTGCTGATCCCTTATTTTCAAGGCTGCTGGTCCCTTATTTTCAAATCTGTAAGTTGACAACTATGTGCTGTAATGCTCTATGATCCATGCCCAGTTTTGTGCAAAGCGGGCAGGGGTTGGCAGGGAGAAGAAACAAGAGTAAAGGCCCAACTAGAACTGGTGGGGTAGGTTTGGCAATGACCAAATAGGATTGCATCACAATGCTCATCATACTGAAGGTGGTCTTCTTTAAAGGGGCAGACACACTTGTTCTTTTTATAACATTTTATTAATTTTCCAAAAATAACAGAAATAAAACAACAATACAAAATCAAAACAAAACAAAATAAATTGACTTCCCTCTAGTCCCTTCCTTGGTTCAATTATTTGTCAAGATACCACATGTCCATTGTTAAATTTAAAAACCCTTTTGAATTACCTATTATCCATTCATAATAAAATTACAAGTACTTTTTAAACCCTGCTAATGTATTAACCTGTGTCCAATTGTTCTGTATATATGCAATAAACATCTTCCATTCTTCCTTTAATTCGTTGTCGTCTCTTCATCTTAATTTCAAGGGGCAGACACATTTCTAAGCAGTGGAAATGTTTCGCTCTGCTTGAGATCCACCACAGCCCCCATCTCCTGAAAAATTACCAAAATGAGGAACCCATTCCACAGGGGCAAAATGATATTTTAATGGTGGCATTGTTTCTGGACTGTACCACCTCAGACCACAGGTAACACAGGGGCAGGGTTTGTATGTTTGGGTATTTCCCATATATATGTAACAATAATTCACATTAGTATGAACATTATTGGGATTATGGTCACTGGCTTGGTAAATGCAACTTGAAGCCCCCATTAAAGTTCTTAAATGAAGCTAAATATTTATGGTGGCCTTTCCTCTCTGCTAGTACAAATGAGTTTTTATTGGAGGTAGGAAGGAATCCTTAGCAACAATATAATGAATAATGGCAATCTGGTGGAGAGGTAGCACAAAAGCGCTTAATACTGTGAATTATTTTAAATAGCATTTTTATTAGATTTTTCTCTGTGCTATTGCCTCCAATTTAAATCATCCTCGGAGAAATGCGGGGAGGGGAAAGGTGATGAAAGGACCCGGGGAGCATTCTCCACTCGGCTACAAACAGCGCACTTGTGCCCTGTGGTCAATTTTTGCATTTTGGCTAGACACCTCGTGCCCGGGCCTGTTGCAGCTTAGCCTGTTCAGAGAAGTTGGAATCCCCAGTTGTTCCACAGAAAGAATCTTTTCCACAAGAGAAGCATATCTGGGATGAAAACAGGTTTACCCACCTGTGTGAGTAGGACACAAAGCATTTCCATCCGTGCAAATGATTAGACACAAAATATGGAACTTCCTCCACTGACATAGCTTTCGTTTTTATTTCGTTTGCTATTCTCTGGAATTAAAAGGCTTTTCTAGTCCTCCCGAGGGGGGAACCCATGTAAGTAACATGTAGGGCATATATTCTATCAACCGTGCAGTTTATTCAATTAACAGATTATGACACATCCTGGCCATTAACACATACAGTGGTACCTCGGGTTACAGACGCTTCAGGTTACAGACTCCGCTGACTCAGAAATAGAACCTCGGGTTAAGAACTTTACCTCAGGATGAGAACAGAAATCGCGCGGTGGCAGCGGGAAGCCCCATTAGCTAAAGTGGTACCTCAGGTTAAGAACAGTTTCAGGTTAAGAACGGACCTCCAGAACGAATTAAGTTCTTAACCCGAGGTACCACTGTATCTGAATCATTCTGAAGACCACTGGCTTTATAGAAACACAAACCATTTGAAAAATACGTTTTACTGAGTTCCACACTTACTAAGTTTTGGGAGAAATAGGCTTGCCATATGTCTGGAAAATTCCTGACTTGTCCTGGTTTTCGGGTGTAAAAATGGGGGGGGGGGGGGTATTTGCGAATTGGCAAAATGTCAGGGAAAGCCCAGACGTATGACAGCGGAAACAGCTCAAAAAGCTTAAAATCACTATATCTGGGTTAGGTTTCCCAAAAAAAACTCAACAATCTGGGTAGGAGAACTTTGCGGGTGTCAGGAATTGTACTTTTTGAAATATGACAACCCTTGGGAAAAAGTGCTGGAATATAAAAACAAGCCCAGACCCTCCAAGTGCCCCTATTTTCCAGGGGTGTCCCTGATTTAGAGACACCATCCCAGCTTCATCAGAGAAATGTTGGAGGGTATGGAGTTATCCAGTCTCCAAGCCATCTGAAGGCAATCCCTGTATAGGGAATTTTTTTCTTAATGGTTAATGTTTTTATATATGTTGGAAGCTGCCCAGAGTGGCTGGGGCTGGGATATATATAGTAAAATTATCATTATGGAATGGGACATCTATATTTTCATCGGGGAAAATGTTGGAGGGTATGCAAGGCACTATGGCAAAAAATAAGATTTTCAGTGGTGATTATGCCCTTTGTATGGGAAATGGCAGCAGGACAGCGAAAATGGATTCTACGTGACCTAATGGTGGCCAGGATACAGTACTGATGAACTGGATGAATAGAGATACGATTTCCCTTAATCAATGGCTTAGCAACATGACAACATTGGCAACATATGAACAGACATCTTATAGACACAGACTTTCTTTGGATAAATACAATGATATTTGGAATGAGTTTACACGGAATATATTAGGTTATTGACAATTAAGTTTAGGTTTAGTCAGGGCTAGAGAACTTTTTCTAAGTCATTCTTTAACCTCAGAGCTTGGAAGTGTATGGGATGAAGATGGCTTTTCCTTATCCCTTACTCATATTGACTTTCATTCCACCTTGGTCTGCTAACACAGTACAAAACATGGCTGCATCAAGGAAGAAGGTGGAAGAAACGGGGGGGGGGGGACTGTTTGTAAAAACAGCAGCTGCCAAGCCCCTCTGGTGCTGGATTCAACTTTTCTTTAAAATGTCATTTTCTGCACCCCATTTATGAAGGGAGTGCTGAATTTCCATGGAACTCCTGCAGCACTACTGAAAAACATCTGCAGCCACGAAGGAGGCAAACACCCTCCTTTTCCTGCATTTCTCCTAAACTTCATCTCCTGCTGCCATTGTGTCAGCATCAATAATGAAAGACAAAACTGGACGGCCCCATTTCTCGCAGTGTTTCCTTGACCTAATGATGAAATGTCTTTTTACCTTGTAGATAAGCATATGAAAGACATCCTCTCCTGATGGTGAACTTTAACATTTGTTCTCCTGTTTGGGAGGGTGAGTGTTTGTGATTGTATTGAAAGACATGTTTTAACAATTGTGTTATTTCTTCTTTTTTCAGTTCCACACACACACACACGCACCGCCCATCGCTTATTCAGTGAGTTACTAATATCCTGATTGGAACCAGACTTGCTAGAATTATGAGTCAAAATTGGAACGGCAACTGCTGTGCAGAGGATGTAAAGGGAATAAAATGAATGGTGCATTAACCTCCAACCACTGAATATTAATCAGCATTTCACAAAAAAGAAAATACAGAAGCTGCCACACTAAATATTTTTAGCGCTTATTGACAGTCTTGATTTCCTCCATCGCACTCTCACTCTCGCTCTCTGTCTCCCTCTCAGTTGTTTTGGCTTCCAATCTAAATTCTAAAGAAAGTACATGTGAAAACTTACTTTTTTATTGGGGAGGCGATTTATCCATTTCTTAAAAATACTGCACAGTCTTAGGGAGTTGTGTCGTGCAAATGCTTTGTACCAATCAAAACTCCATATCCCTCAACCAGAGACGTTCCAAGCCCCAAGGTAAACAGAAATCCAAACTGGAATATGGAAAAGCCCTCGGAAATAAATGAATGCACATAGCGACTTGTTCAAAAATAAACTTCCCAAGTACTTAAAAGTTTTTTTAAAAAAACGTGCTCCACATTTTGCAAATATTAATTAAATGTAGTTATGACACACTTAGTTTTTTAATGCGGATCTCTTGAAAACATCTGGAAGAAGCATAGATGGCTAAAAAAAACACCTGATCAGCAACATATTCTCGATTTATTGCATTTTCACCCAATGAATGACTCCCACCACCAAATTATGGCTGTTTCACCAAAACTAGAAGACTGATATTCTTTCTTCCGCCATGCATACTCTTCTGGAACAACACTTATAACAACATATGCTGGAACAACATGCTTTCCATCTCTGGTCTAAGCAACTATGCAAAAGCCACTGGCCACTCATAAGCAGAATATGAAAGGGATTTCTTTCCCCTGCTTCATGTTCACACTGTCCAGTATTCAGAGCTATCAAGAAATGGAGGTTTTATTTAACTCAGGCACAGGCAAACTCGGCCCTCCAGATGTTTTGGGACTGCAACTCCCATCATCCCTGACCCCTGGTCCTGTTAGCTAGGGATGATGGGAGTTGTAGTCCCAAAACATCTGGCGGGCCGAGTTTGCCTATGCCTGATTTAGCTAGATGCATAATAGCTTTCGAAGCTTTTTTCAAAAAGCAATCTAGAAGAACATATGGCTGATTTCAGATTTCCAGGAACAAAGGAAAGGCAAGTAGGGCACATTATCTTGTGTATAATGCAATAGGCAATAAACTTTCTTTCCAGAAATGGGTGTTTTATGGCATTTCCACTAAATGCGGATTAAATCTTACTCTGGGTACTATGCACCTCCAATCTCTATCAATAGCATATGCACTGCCTTGTGAAAGTCCTGTTCCACCTTGGGTGATGAACCGCTGAGTCAGCTCTCAAAGTTCCTCTGATTCATAGAAAGCTCTGCCTTCATTTTAACCACTTCCACAAACAGGAAAATTGCTTTTTTTTTCTGATCACAGAAGAGGAGTCACAATCTTATGCTGCCGGCTGCCACGTTGCATTGCTTGTGTGAGTAGACCACTTGCATCTCTCATTACTGGTCAAGATACTAAAGATAAAAAGGTAAAGGACCCCTGGATGGTTAAGTGCAGTCAAAGGCGACTATGGGGTTGCAGCGTTCATCTCGCTTTCAGGCCAAGGGAGCTGGTATTTGTCCCCAGACAGCTTTCCGGGTCATGAGGCCAGCATGACTAAACTGCTTCTGGCACAATGGAACACCATGACGGAAACCAGAGAACACGGAAACGCAGTTTACCTTCCCACTGCAGTGGTACCCATTTATCTACTTGCACTGGTGTGCTTTCAAACTGCTAGGTTGGCAGGAGCTGGGACAGAGCAACAGGAGCTCACCCCGTTGTGGGGATTCGGACCGCTGACCTTCTAATCGGCAAGCCCAAGAGGATCAGTGCTTTAGACCACAGCACCACCCGCGTCCCTGGTCAAGATACTAGTGAACTGCTTGAGAACAGCATGTGAGAACAAATGTAAAGCAAACAGCAAGGAAGGTAGGTTTAAACTCTTATTTAACTTTTATTGAACCATACCAATGGTGACCAATTGTTAAATTGCTATATTAAGAGGGGGTCAAATTCTTAATTTAACAGTACTTCAAGACTGCTGCTCTTTGGGGGTGGGATTCCATCACATAACAGCAAATTCAAGACGCACAATTATATTTGATCGGGAGCTGTTATGCAACATACCTGCTTTCCTAAAAGATCGGGCTTTTGCAATAAGGAAAGTGATAGGAAAATGCACTGCAATGTGCACAACACTTCCCTGTTGCAACACCGTCTCACCTCCCTGCAAACAAATCAGGATGGATGTGCAATTCACAGACTGTCTTGAAGCAATGAAAGAATACAAAAGGGACTGTGGGATGTATGTTCTTGCAGCAGTATTTGATAATTTCAGAGATCTTTTTCTGCCATATGTTATTCCTTTTGTATTCTTACTATCAATTAGTGCCTTTGAATTCTCAACAAAAAATGTATATTTTTGATACTTTGAGATTACATCAAAACCTGAAGTCTCTGAAACTTAAACCCCACTGGAGACCCCTACCAATGTAGTATAGTAAAGAGCATGTTCTCCTGACAGTGCAGTCCTGTGCATGTCTACTCGGGAGCAACTCCCATTGAGGTAGTGTGCAGACGACTGCAGCTTGAGGCCCTCCTTCCTAAATTTCCATTACTGAATTTTGTAAGTGAGAATAACAGCCTAAAGAAAGAGGTTTGAAGTCGACCAGGTCTCAATATTCTACTTGAATGAAAGAAAAACAATACAATACAAAATCCTGCAGTGAAACTGTTGCTCAAAGAATTTCAGAAACATCTTTCATTTCAAAAACACACTTTCAAAATAGTCATATTTACAAAATTGGCAATATCCAGATAGCTTTTTTTCTACCATAACATTTTGGCACTGAGAGAGACCAGTGTTCTAAACCATAAAATTAGACGTCTGGACATCTAAGGGTTTTTGTCGTCACAGCAACAAACCCCTCCCTTGCCAGCACAACTGTCATTCTCCCCAGTGTGCCGGAATTCATTTGTTTTCATTCATTCCTTATCAAGTTACTTGAATTTGAGTCAATGCTCAAAACGTATTTAGAGAAGAAAAAAGTGGTAGGTTTTCAGGAAATAGCAAGTTCTTTTTAACCAAGATAGAAATCATTTGGCAAGAGATGACAAAATACTTTTAGTTTTCTTTCGGTAGTTAAAAAAACAAGAAAGAAAGAAAGAAAGAAAGAAAGAAAGAAAGGAAACTGGAGAAGGTAGGAACAGAGGAGCGGAACTTTTCAAAGAAGAAAGGGAAGAAGTCCTTTGCAAATATGACATTATTTGCAACTGATATTTAATAAAGACAGATCTGAGAGTCTGTTTTATATATTGTGGCTGTTATTTTGTACAATGAAGTCAAAGCCAGCTACTACGCATATAGAGAGCTAGTGTGTCAGAAAGAAGCTGCCCTTCTTCTTGACATGCTAGCTTGCTATGTACATGTTGTTTTCCAAGGAGGGCATCCACACAAACAATTCTTCACCTGTAGTCATGCGGCAGAGTCTTGCAAAAGCTGCACCACATGGTTTTATTATGTCAGTGAGTTTGCAAAACACACACTTGCCAAACAACACTTATTTATTGCAGATCAGCCATATGATGCAGTCAATTACCATTTCAGGTCAATTATCGGATAGAAACAGCCATAGTGTCTTTATTTGAAAAACCTGGGTGTGTAACCTGGTAACTGTGGCACCTTGGAAGGTGCATTTGGGAAGCGAGTCTACAAGCTGATCTCAGGGCCCTACAACATCTGGCCTAACTTTTGTTTGGATTTTGCCTTTTTGAGCAAGTCTCCTCTGTGATTTCCTTACACCACTTACTGTCTATTTTTACTGTGCGTGCATTTTGTCATAGCTTGGACATTTTGTATTCAAAATGATAAACATGAACATGCATATTGGTTGCCAACCTGTCTCAGTGGCAAGAAGGTTATACTACCTGGAGAGAGCCAGTGTGATATAAAAGTTAGAGTGTAAGACTATGACCTGAGAGACCAGGGTTTGAATCATGAATGACCTTGGGCCAACACCATCTCTCAGCCTAACCTAACTCACAGGGTGCTTTGAGGATAAAATGGAGGGGGGGGGAGAACCATGTACACCCCCTTGAGCTGCTTGGAGGACAAGGTGGAATATAATTGTAACAAATAATCATAATAAGATAAATAACTGATACAGTAACTATGCAATGAATTCAAATAACTCTGCTAACTTAGGGCAGATTCGTACAACTATGGGATAGAGTTGTGCAGGAACTCCCAAGTTTCCTGGGTATTTTCCAGCTGTGTTTTCCCATGGGACCTTAATTTGTTCCAGGGCTCACCAGAGGATAACCACTGCTCCTGTTTTCAGTCCGCCTCTGAACAAGTTTAGTCTTTTACTATTGACAAAGTGTATTCCCACATCTTTGGGATTAAACGACCATTTTACACCTCAGAGGATGTTCTTCCAGAGAGGTATTCACCTCACCTAACACCTTTTCCCTGTTAAGTCCTACTTTTCAACCACAATACCAGAACTTTGCCCCAGCTAAATACAAATATATATATAGAAGCCAGAGTGTATGTCAGACACTGCAACCCCAAATACAACCACCCTTTCAAAGGTTTTATTAAGCTATCTATCTGCAGATCACTTTCCATTCATCAAATAATGTGCAGCCTAACAAAATTAACTCCCCAAAGGCTTAAATTTAACTCTCAAAAAGCTGTACTTGCAGATCTTCAGATTTCATCCCTCCATCTCCTGCCATGGTAACTGAAAAGTGACAGCTTGCATTCTTAATTTCTTTTTTAATTGATGTGTTTGTGTATTTGTTTTTAACAGAAAGCAATGTTTTTTCATCCATTATTCCCTGGATGCTGTCCAGCATTTAACAGAAACAAACTGCGCCCTCATATACACAATAATCCTTAGGTGTGAGGCGATTGAAGTTTTCGTTCTGACCATATTTGAATAAGAAACATATGTTTAAAATAAAAATTTGCCTGTGTGGGGAGCTGCTGTTTGTATAAACCTAGAAGGCTGCTTCACTTAAGCATCCATGGTTAATGGGAGAGGCACGTTTGTGCAGAGTTCCAGACAGTGGTACCTCGCTTTACAAACTTAGTCTGTTCTGCAAGTCCATTCTTAAACCAAAGCCATTCTTATACCGAGGTGCACTTTCCCTAACAAAGCCTCCCGCCGCTGGTGCCCTTCCACCGTTCGGATTCCATTCTTAGACCGAGGTAAAGTTCACTAACTGGAACACTACTTCCGTTTTTGTGGAGTTTGTATACCAAATAGTTCGTAAACAGGGCTGTTCTTAAACCGAGGTACCACTGTAGTGCTTTATATCACTTAGCTATGGGCCTGGCTAGAATTATAAACATAACTTGTTCACGTCTCTCTCTGTGTGTGAATACTGAATAAATTACATGGTAAGAACTCTTCTTGTTTACCTGCTTTTTGGCCACCACCAGGGGAGGGATCAGATTCCCTGAAGCCTGAAGGGGGGGGTTTACCCTGCATAATCGATGATAAGACTCAGGGTGCACACACCATCTGAATGGCAATGCCCATCAACTTTGTTAGGGGTCCAGACCCCTCATATATTTTAGGGGGGGATGAAGATACCTTGACGCCTAGGAGTTGGCTCCTATGAATGTGATATACATGCCATCCCTGTGTACGCACATCAGAGCGCACAAGGAGTTCTGAACTTCAGGCAATGTTGTTTCTTTTAGGTTAAAAATGAAAAACAAACAACATTGCTTTCGAATAAAACAAAATAAAAAAGTCCGACAAATTAAAGATTCTCATGATTCACCACTCAAGGAAAGTCTAAGAAGCGTCTGATTGGCTGTTCACTTGGAAATAGGAGGTTGTATAATATATTTGCGGCATTATAGAACGTATTAAGAGAGAAGGCTGCTTGTTGGGTGACTGGAAGTTAGAGACAGCCTCAGTAATAATTGCAATGTCGAGTGGGCTACACCAGTCAGTTAACTAGTCTGTGACTTCAGCACTGGATATTTGTTAAGTGCATTAAAAAAAAAATAGGAGGGGGGAGGATGGAAAACTCGGTAATATGGTTTTAGGGTTCTAGTACACAGCTAATGAACTAATTATATGGCATGGATGAATAGACCCTGCTTTACAAAGAACAATATCCTACGTCCTGCACCATTTACAGTATTCTTAACTCTTCCCTATTTTTATAGCTGGTATTGGGAGACTGGATAGAGGGGTGTGGGGTTGGAATCTATTTTTTATTAGGGGAAAAAAGATCTGAGTGTATTAGGCACAGTGCCAGTAGCCTTAGAAACTTAAGATTTTTCCATCTCCATTACAAGTTGAAGTAAAACCTTCATATAAAATTGAAATGAAAGGGCACATTATTATCCCATTTTGTAACGTTTGCCTGGAAGTCAAACTTGGGAATACATCCTTTAATTATTATTTTTTTTCCCTCTTCGCAAAACATTCTGATACACTGAGCACTATAGACATTTTTTTTCCTCTTGCCTTTAGCTGCTCCTGTAACTGATATTACCAAACCACAGTTAATTATTTTCTATGGCCTACGTGAAGATTTCTCCCTAAAAGTGCATGATCTAGGATATACAGCAGAGCTTTCAGTGTGTCAACACCTCAAGAATGGAGGCCTAGAACAACACCAACACTGACATTTCTCTCTACAAGCCTGACATCCATTTGTTTTTCTTACCTAACTCATGACACTGCTTACCTAGCTCAGTGCTCCTCCCATCAGCTCTCCACGTCGCCTTCAGTCATGTGCCCTCCCTGGCTATTCCCAAAATATTTCCAAGTTCAAGATCAGATTTAAGGACCAGAATGGGACAGCAAGCAGTCTGGTATATTATGCATGCAACTAAAAATTTTATTGGGAACTTCTTCCTAAAATGCCCCCACTCCAGGAAAAAAACACCTTTAAAACTCTTTACACTTAGGCAAGAAAACTCAATTTTTAGTGGCAAGGACATGTCTTTGCATAAGAGAGGAGAGAGGGAAAGAGGGGTTCCTTCAAAAAATGTAAGTTATTATGCCAAAATGTAGGTTTTCTGAATGCTGCAGTGTTAGAATTCAGTTTGAATCTAGCATCATGGGCGATATTTAACTAATAGCTTCGCAAGTGCAAAGATTTGCAGTAGCCCAATTGGATTTTCTTGTCTCTCCTCCCATATACGCACCCCATGCCATCCCCAAATCTGCTCCAGAGGATTAGGGTGAACCCAGAACAGATTTCGGGGGCAAACAGGGAGGAGGGGAAGAGAGAGAATGTTCCACATTCTCCTTAGCACTACTTTGAATACAACCCAATGTTTGAAAATATTGTTTTGGATTTTTGCCCCAACAGTAGTCTTAACTACATCTAAGAAATGTATTGGTACCAATATTGTGTATTTATCAAACCACTCTGTTGTATTGCTGTTTTCAATTTCTTTCTGTAAAACTCTGAGCAAGTCACCTGGTTTTCCTTATTTCTCTATTTAGAAGAAGAGGTCCTATTTACCTGACATCCACAGACGGAAAAATGAATTAGTGCTAGATCGCATGTACGAATATTCTTCTGCAGAACAAATAATCTGCTGCTTGTCTGTTCTTTGAGCTAACTTCTCATTCTAGCAAAAAGAGAGGGAGAGAGATCAAAAGCCAGATGATCACAATTTCAAAGAGCAAGTTCTTATCAGTGGATGGTGTGCACCCCCTTTTATTTAAAGTATCTACAGCCAACTTTTCCTTACAAAAAGCTCAAAGGTGCAAGTTGTTTTGTAAGTTGCTTTATAAAAAGTTCAACAAAAACAAAACACAGTTTACTAACTTACTGTATTGGTTACTCAAAACAGTAGATTCAAGAACAAAACTAAACCTACAGCAGCAAATTACAAACAATAAATTCCAGCCACCTATGACAAAAAAAAAGCTTCTTTAAAAACACTATTGTTGCCACAAAGTCATTGTATCCCTAGGGACTTATAAAATTCATCACCATGGATGAGCTTTATCAGAAGAACAGGAAAAGTGTGCTCCTGTTATTCTCTCGATCTCACAACAGCTTTTGATGCTATTGACCATGGGATCCTTCCGAGGCAACTTAGGGCTTATTCACACTCACCGTTTGCCTTGTTCTTCCCAGCCAGAGGTTCACGCTTTAACACTCCATGTCTGAGCATTTGTGGTGGGTGTTACCCCAATCTTTCCCTGCAAAAGCCCACTCTTTACAGCTGAATCGGACCAAACATTATTTCAGGTTTTCTGCGGGTTGCTGTTTGCTCTGATAGAGCTTGAAAGAGCAGGGAAAGCTCTGGAGAGAGAAAAAAGTATGTGTGCTTGGATATTGAGCTTTAAATCACAGACCAGGGTAGATGCGTAGCCCATGGTACCCCAATTACAGTGGTGCCTCGCAAGACGAAATTAATTCGTTCCGCGAGTTTTTTCGTCTAGCGAATTTTTCGTCTTGCGAAGCACGGTTTCCCATAGGAACGCATTAATTGAATTTCAATGCATTCCTATGGTCAAAAAAAGTCCAATCAAAGCCAAATTTGGTACAACAAGAGTTTATTAACTGCTCTTTAAAGTCACACATACTTTAAAGAGCATATCAAAAATTGAAGGAACAATAAATTAAGTTTCTAAACATGACAGAAAAACATTTAAAAATCAACAAAGTGTACTGTACATACATTTTCTAAGACTCTGGGGGACCACTCGAAGTAGGTTCGTCTTCCACTCTTTGCTTCTTGCTGAGGAACCTGTCCATGGTCTGCTGCTTCATCCGCCTTTTCAGCAGCTCCCTGAGAGGCAACATGACCGTCGTATCAAAAGTGTTCGCTTGGTCATGTGCCACGTGCTTGTTCGGGTGGTGCCGCTCTGCAAAAGCCTGCACCTCCTTCCACTTCTGGCAAATGTCCCTCAGTTCTTTGGAGGACAGCCGTTCCTCAGTTGCTTCGTCCTCTTCCAGCGAGGCCTGCTCCTGCACAACCTCTGCCTGCAGTTCAACCAGCTCCTGGGTGGTCAGCTCGTGGTCGTGCTCCTCCACCAGCTCGCTGACGTCCTCCTCTGTGACCTCCAGGCCCATGGTCCTCCCCAAGGCAACAATGTCCTGCACCACTGTTGACTCTGGTGCATCAGAGTCACTTGGTGCCACACAGTCCGGCCACAGGCTGCGCCAAGCGCAATTCAAATTTCTCTGGCTGATCCTGATCCAGGCCGTGGTGATCATCTTCAAGCAGGTGACGATGTCGAAGTGGTCCTTCCAGAATTCCCGCAGGGTGATGGTGGTGCGATCAGTCACCACGAAGCAACGCCTGAAAAGCTCCTTGGTTTTGAGTTTATTGATATTGGCGATGACCTGCTGATCCATCGGCTGGAGCAGTGGCGTGGTGTTAGGCGGCAGGAACATGATGTTGATGAAGCTGAACTCCTCCAACAAGTCCACCTCAAGGCCTTTAGGATGAGCAGGAGCATTGTCCATCAGAAGCAAAGCCTTCAGCGGCAGGTCGTTGTCCAGCAGGTACTGTTTGACAGCAGGGCCAAAAGCAAGATTGACCCAGTCCACAAACAGCACACGTGTGACCCAAGCCTTGCTGTTGGATCGCCACATGACACTCAGCCGCTCCTTGTCGACCTTGTGTTTCTTGAAGGCCCGTGGGTTCTCCGAGTGGTACACCAGCAGGGGCTTGATCTTCAGGTCGCCGCTTGCGTTGGCACAGAAGAGCAGGGTCAGACGGTCCTTCATGGGCTTGTGGCCAGGCAACTTGGCCTCCTCCTGTGTGATGAAAGTCCTTTTGGGCATCCTCTTCCAAAACAGCCCGGTCTCGTCGCAGTTGAAGACCTGCTGTGGAACGTAGCCCTCCGTGTTCACAACCTCCAGGAACTCCAAGGCAAAGTCTTCAGCCGCAGGAACATCAGAACTGGCAGCCTCTCCATGCCTGACCACGCTGTGGATTCCAGATCTTGCCTTGAACCGGTCAAACCAGCCTCTGCTTGCCTTGAAGACTTCTGGCTCGCCTGAGGTTCCTGGCTGTTCCCGGATGAGGTCTGCGTGCAAGGCCTTGGCCTTCTCACAAATCACGGCCTCAGTCACTGTGTCCCCTGCATGCTGCTTCTCTTCTAACCAGATGAGCAGCAACTTCTCCAGAACAGCTGGGCGGTTCTTCACGATCCTGGTGACTCCCTTGGCTGCATCAGTCGCAAGGATCTTCTCCCTCATCTTCAGGATGGTCCCGATGGTCGATGGGTTCCTGCCGTACTCCCTGGCGAGGTCCGTCACACGCATTCCACCGTCGTGCTTCCAGATGATCTCCTTCTTCATTTCCAGCGTTCACCTTCTCCTTCTTCCTCTCGCCGGCCTCCGCAGCAGCAGTCTTCTTGGGTCCCATGGCAGCACAGCTGTTACCTTCGTAAACTCAGAAAAAGGAAAAAAAAATCAGCATTTCAAACCCAGAACCAAGTCCTTGAATTCCAAACACCCAACCCAAAATCCAAAACCCCCCAAAAAAGTTTTAAAAGTTTAACTTACGAAATGGCTGCAAATCACCAAAGTCTTCAAAATCCTCAAATGGCTGCAAAAGAAGTTTTGGGAAAGCTTTAAAAATCACCAAAGTCTTCAAAAACCTCAACTGTTCCCCCAGCCCCTCCCCAACTGTTGCAAACCCCTCCCCAACTGTTGCAAACCCCTCCCCAACTGTTCCCCCAGCCACCCAGCACACAGAAATTCAAACTCAGAAATTTTTCCCAAAAAAACCAACATGGCCCAATGGTCACAGAAAACAATAAAAATTCAAAAAAACCCCACACAAGAACCCACAAGCTTGCAAACCCCACCCCAGCTGTTCCCCAGCCACCCAGCACACAAAAATTCAAAACCCAGAAATTTTTTTCAAAAAAACAACAACATGGCCCAATGGTCACAGAAAACCATAAAAATTCAAAAAAAACCACACAAGCTCCCAGATTCTTGCAAACCCCTCCTCAACTGTTCCCCCATCCACCCAGCACACAGAAATTCAAAACCCAGATTTTTTTTTCAAAAAGAAACAACATGGCCCAATGGTCACAGAAAACCATAAAAATTAAAAAAAAAACCACACAAGCTCCCAGATTCTTGCAAACCCCTCCTCAACTGTTCCCCCAGCCACCCAGCACACAGAAATTCAAAACCCAGAAATTTTTTTCAAAAAAAACCAACATGGCCCAATGGTCACAGAAAACCATAAAAATTAAAAAAAAAACCCACACAAGCTCCCAGATTCTTGCAAACCCCTCCTCAACTGTTCCCCCAGCCACCCAGCACACAGAAATTCAAAACCCAGAAATTTTTTTCAAAAAAAAAATATAAAATGGCCCAATGGTCACAGAAAACCATAAAAATTCAAAAAAAAAAAAAACCACACAAGCTCCCAGATTCTTGCAAACCCCTCCTCAACTGTTCCCCCAGCCACCCAGCACACAGAAATTCAAAACTCAGAAATTTTTTTCAAAAAAAACCAACATGGCCCAATGGTCACAGAAAACCATAAAAATGCAGAAAAAACCACACAAGCTCCCAGATTCTTGCAAACCCGTCCTCAACTGTTCCCCTATCCACCCAGCACACAGAAATTCAAACCCAGATTTTTTTTTCAAAAAAAAAAAAACATGGCCCAATGGTCACAGAAAATCATAAAAATGCAGAAAAAAACCACACAAGCTCCCAGATTCTTGCAAACCTCTCCCCAACACCAAGTCCTTGAATTCTAAACACCCCAACCCAAAATCCAAAAAAACCCAAAAAAAGTTTTAAAAGTTTAACTTACCAAACAGCTGCAAAAGAAGTTTTGGAAAAGCTTCAAAAATTCAGCAAACTCTTTAAAAAGCTCAAAAAAGGCCACCACACCGTGTGCAATGTGTTGCTCCTCGAAGTCAAGTCGCAACTGCACCTCTTCAAGCAATGCACCCTGGGTATTAACGGTTTTACGAAAAAGGAAACAAACTTGCAAGACGTTTTCATCTTGCGAAGCAAGCCCATAGGGAAATTCATCTTGCGAAGCAACTCGAAAACGAAAAAATCTTTCGTCTTGCGAGTTTTTCGTCTTGCGAGGCGTTCGTCTTGCGGGGCACCACTGTATTAGAAAAAGTGGGAAGCTGAAATATCTTCCCTAAAAGAAGTGTCTAAATTATACCTCAGTACTTACAGATACTGTAAGTGGCAGGTGGCGCTGTGGTCTAAACCACAGAGCCTAGGGCTCACCGATCAGAAGGACAGAGGTTTGAATCCCCGCAATGGGGTGAGCTGCCATTGTTCGGGCCCAGCTCCTGCCCACCTAGAAGTTTGAAAGCACACCAGTGCAAGTAGATAAATAGGTACCACTATGGTGGGAAGGTAAACGGCATTTACTGGTTCACCAGAAGCGGCTTAGTCATGCTGGCCACATGACCCGGAAGCTGTCTGCGGACAAACGCTGGCTCCCTCAACCAGTAAAGCGAGATAAGCACCGCAACCCCAGAGTCGTCCGCGACTGGACCTAACGGTCAGGGCTTCCTTTACCTTTACTTACAGATAAGTGGGCAGAAAGCTGGAAGTTGCCACACACCACTGTGATTACAACCATTTCCTTGTTTTGTTGGATAAACAAGCTATATTTCACCAGGTGATGCTATCAGGAATGTTCATTAAAGTTTGTAGCTCCAGGGTTTGTTTCACCTCTTTTTGTTGTTGCTGCAAATTTCACATTTATTTTTAACAGTAAAGGGAAAGACATCTTTCAGCTATGTCAATAGACTGAAACGAAAGCCCTGTTCCTGTTGGATTTGATTTCCCTTCTGCCCTGTTACAGGTAAAGTTACAGATTTCTAATATCATACATTTCAGGGGAAGAAGGAGAAAAAATTGCAGGGGGCTCATTCTCTCTCTCTCTCTCTCTCTCTCTTGATACATCCTTCCTTCCGCCCCTCTCAATCAATTAGTAGGCAAAGACTTCCGAAAAGCTTTTTCCTTCCTAACCTTTCACAGGCTTTTGCAGTAATGACCCTGGAGAGATCAACCTGGACCTTTGAATGGGGTTGGTTACCCTCCCAGGGCACCGTAAGGTGACCTTCCCTGATTCCCCCTCTTCCTTTTCTACCTCCTCCTGCAGTTCTTACATTCTCAGGAAGGAGGGAGAAAGGGAGAGCTAATGTTCTCTAGATCCCACTAGATAATGTTTCCTCTCTGGTGTCGTTTGAAACTGAGGATACGTGCAGAGAGAGCCCAGGCTCATTGCTTTAATAAATAACAGCTAGTGTACCTGAAGTCATGATGAGGAAGCACTTTCTGTTTCTAATTTCCATCCTCTGTATAGCTAACCTAGACCTGCTCTCCGTGATGCTTCTGAATCCTGAGTTCATACTTTGGAGTTACACAGCTGCTCAATAATTTTTAGCACTTTAAATTTAGTCTTCTTTTCTTTTCTTTTCACCTTTCTTAGAGAACTCCAATAGATACAGATGCTGAGATTTTGTGATACTGGTGTACATTTCCAGTATTGTGCTGGAAATGGGGCTGTTATGGCTTGGATAATTTTTTTAAAAAGTCAGATCTTTCATATGGTTATTCAGATATTCAAGTTTATTAATGTATTAAAATGGAATAAGTCTGTTGTGGACAGGAGCCAAATGAGCTCATATCACTGGTGCTCTACACTTAAAAGGAAACAGCTTTCGCATTATTTAGACCAGTGATTAAATTGCAATTGCAGAATCGCTGCTTCCAGACCACACTTCAAACTATGATAAACTGGCAAACCAGAGTGAATAGGAAACAAGGGAGGTGAGTAAGAGGAAAGTGAAGTGAACAGAGACCAAGGGTGCCAACTTGAATAAAACATTGGGAGACTCAGGTAAGCCCCGCCCCACATGATTGATCACAAGACATGGCGCAAGCACACTCTTTGAATGGCAATGCCCACTAACTTGCGGGGAGCAGCCCCTAGGAGTTGACTCCTGTAGCAGAGACTGTATTTTCCTATAACCTCAAAGAATCTGATGACCTTAAGCACCCATCAAACTAATGCTGTCTACATTTAAAATGACCATGTACGTTGTTCAGAAACTTCCACAGCTACAGAATGCAATTGCTTGCCCTTGGACAGAAAGAGAAAGATGAGAACTTATGCACTTGTAACTAGTTAATTCCTGGGCCCAAACACAATGGACCATATATAAATAAATAATTGTGCTAACTGGAGGATTAGCACTTGCACAGCCAGGCTTTCCCCACTCTACTCCTGCGGTATGCTACCCGTGCCATCATAGGTGCCAACTCCCTGGGGCTCTGGGTACCCGAGCACCCACAAAATTCCCCATGAAGGGGCCAGGCACCAATACATTTTGGTGATAGGGCAATGCTCACTGCATGGCACTCATAGTCGTGTGCTCAAAAAGAAAAACAGATTTTGGGGGTGTATGGGTGTGGGGAGCGGGGGGGACGAATGTTCCATTTTACAAGGGAAAGGACAATTTATTGAGTTGAATGCAACCCTAAATAATATGGAATCCACAAGTCTTGAGCCCTAAGACTTAGGGACATAAGGCTTGGTGACTCCAATCTTTTGACATATGTCACTCACTGACAGGAGACCCACCTCAAACCTCAGTCATCTCAGGAAAATGCTCTGAGAATTCCCACCATTCTGGACCACTGCTTGTAGTTTCTGGTATACTGCTTAGCTTATATTTTGTCTCCAATATATATTGCAATTTTGGCATACACTTTTATTTATAGTTTCTTAACTGCAAGTTCAGCATACTGAATTACGGTACACATATTTCTTTAATATGGTTATAAGCTGCCGGGAACATTCACCATGAGAACATAAAGCTCTTTTTTTACTGCGTGGGATAAATCATTTTTTTAGTATCTCAACAGTCTCGTCTTTTAGCCAGCTTCAAAGATGATAGCTCATTGTGCCTGAAATCAGCACATTAGTGCTCCAGGAAATGTTTCTTGCATGCCACCTCCATCCCTACCCATCCAAGCTGGGAGCATCCTTCTGCTGCTCTGAGAAACTTAAAACAGGCTAAGGAGAGTTCTTGTCCATTTTTATGTATCTCACCTTTCTGCAGCCATCTGCTCCCCAAGCAGACTGCTGAGAAATTATGCATGTCACACCGTCAAAGGGGCAAACATTCAAATCACAGCTGGGCATTAATAAATACATGATGTATGTATCCATTTCAGAAGTCCCATTTGGTCCAAGGCGAGAGGAAAAAAGAACAGGCCAGTGTTACAAACTTAAGATCATATTGAAGTATCTATTTTCTACAGAGATACCATTTAGGTTTCCAAGCCTGTTTCCTTATCAAAGAAGCTATCAAGTGCCCTTCAAGGCTACTAGAAAAGTCAAAGCACAAGTCCAGGACCTACCCAATGTGCCCTCTTCCTTACCCAGAATCTAATAAAGATGATTAAATTTCATGTCTTTTCCTCCCATTGAAATCACCGCTCACTGCTCCAATAATAGAGCTCAGGAAATAAGGCATGACAACTTCCCTCATGAAATTTTAGAAGGCAGAGCAGGGGTCCGAAGGACAGGCCTGCAGCTGCAAGACTGGGCTGCTCTAATTAAGATTTCACCCTGCTGAGTAAAATCTAATCTAAGTAGAACAGAAAAAGGGAACTTTGGTTTGGTTCAAGCTGTCGCCTACCTGCTTTCTCCAGCTTTCACCCTAGCCCCATCTCAAATGCTGAGCTGCTTTCTCTCTCTACTGGAATAGGGGAAGAGTTCATCTCACAACGAATTCCACGTGCTGCTATGAACATAAGCACTACCCTCTTGAGTCAGGCATACCAGTGAACCCCCTAGCGCAATACAGTGGTACCTCAGGTTAAGTACTTAATTCGTTCTGGAGGTCCGTTCTTAACCTGAAACTGTTCTTAACCTGAAGCACCACTTTAGCTAATGGGGCCTCCCACTGCCGCCGCACTGCCAGAGCACGATTTCTGTTCTCATCCTGAAGCAAAGTTCTTAACCCAAGGTACTATTTCTGGGTTAGCGGAGTCTGTAACCTGAAGCGTATGTAACCTAAAGCATATGTAACCCAAGGTACCACTGTATCCTTTATCCAACAGGATCAGGACTTTTCAGCAGAAATACAGAGAAAATCAATGAAATCATAAGTTAATTCTTATATTCACTGCCATCCTTACATAATCCCATTGACTGGGTTTTCAGGAAACGTATTAGGTGAGATTAATAATAATAATAATAATAATAATAATAATAATAATAATAATTTCATATCTATACTGCTTTATATCTTAAAGAAAACAATGTCAAAGTGGTTTACAACACATTCAAACATCAAATAAAACCATCCAAATAAAACAAATTCGAGCTTCACGTAAAATATTCTAGATCCTTCTGCAAGTATTTTGCTTTCCCCAGACAGTCATACCTCGGAAGTCCAACGGAATCCATTCTGGAAGTCCATTTGACTTCCATAACGTTCAGGAACCAAGGTGCGGCTTCCAATTGGCTGCAGGAAGCTTCCAATTAGAAGCTGCGGAAGCCACGAAAGACATTCAGGTTCCAAAGAACATTTGCAGACCAGAACAATCACTTCCGGGTTTGCGGCATTCAGGAGCCAAAACGTTCAACTCGCAAGGTAGTACTGTATTTATTTACCTACTTAATTTATATAGCTGCCCCACAGCAGAAGAAATCTAGGAAGCCAGTGTGGTGTAGTGGTTAGAGCCCTGGACCAGGACCTGGGAGATCAGGGTTCAAATCCCCACTCAGGAATTAAGCCCACCAGGTGACTCTTGGCTGGTCACAGCCCCCTGATAGTGGACTACGCCTGACAGTGTGCTGAAGTTTCTCAGTTACAGTAATGAAATGCAATTCACTAAATGGGTAGCCAGCTTGCAGCCCTGGTACCTCAAGTGGTATAGGCTGCATGATTTGGCAGACCTAAACAGAAGCAGCAGGGCCTATGACATATAGCCTATCTACATTCCTCTTTGGATCTCCAGGTTGCTTGGGATTACCATACAGGACATCACATCTGGCACTAAAAATGGCAGCCCTAGGTAAAAGCCATCTCTCCATAATGCTTAGGCACCCCTTACCCATCTCATGACCCTATCACAGCATGCCTTTTCTCACAATCACTGGCTCCTGTAGTGAGGAATGATATGGTTATATATGCCTAAATCCCGCAATCCAAGTCGTTTTCCTTCCCTCTCTCTTTGAGTCAAATTTCCTATTAAATTTTAAAATCTTGACATATATATTCCAGATTCCAAATTTGTTATACATTTCTCTTTAAACTTTGACTCCCTGCCTTTCCCTCTATGCTGTTCTTAATCCCATCCCATTTACATACTGCATTCTAATAAACATTTCACCTAAGACATATTCTTCCACTTCATATATTATCAATCTTCTAGCACTGCTCATATTTCAAATCCTGCTCATGATTTCATCTGATTATGAATTTGTTTTCAGATATCCCCCAAAGGGTTTGCATTCTTCCATTCTTCTTTCATTAGTGTGTTCTCTTATTTCCTGTTCTGCGCATACAAGATTCTGGCTGCTGCTGTTGCATACAAAAATAAGTTAGGTATCTTGGGGGGGGGGCACTTTCCATCTGGCTCCCAGGAAGTCTCCCACTCAGGTACTGACCACACCTAGACCTGCTTAGCTTCAGCAAGTTGGTGGTCTCATGTGCCTTCGGCTGATACCTTGATGGCTGCCATTTTCAGCATAAAGGTGAAATGACAACAGAGTGTGGTGGGACAGGACAGCATTTTTACTGCAGAGTGCACAGTAAAAATCTGGCAGTCTAAGAAGGCTGGCCACCTCTGAACTAATATCATCTGTTTAGGATACTCTGCTCTGATTCAGAGTAATGCTTTATCTACATTCGCATATCACATTCTTAGTTCTGTTTCAGGAGTGTGAAAGAGGGAGGAATGTGAATGAGAGACCTAAAAGCAGTGCTCCTTCTTCCCACCTACACTTTGCTCAAATAAATTACAAAATATTGACAATTCCATCCCTCACTCGGATAAGAATCTTTTGCTCCATGAGACCCAAGAGAGACGGTCTTCAGGCCAGTTCACTTTTTGTCCTTTCCCTCTTTTGACATTATCGTTACTTTAATTAGGTTGTCACTCAAAAATGTCGGGAGAAGATTCACACACATTGACGGGGGAGGGGTGGGATGTCATCACAAACTCATTATTTCCTCGGACGCACAGCTTAGTGCAGCTGCAGAAGCCTATCTCTGGCTGTTTGCATGTTTTTTGAAGGAGCTGGAACAGTGTAAAGCTCAAGAGAACCAGGGGAAGGGGGATGAGCCCATACTGACAGCACCATTCAGTTCTATGGCTTAATCACAAACAAATATCTGCAACCACAGAGCAATTGTTGTGTGCAGCTAGGCTTGCCCTTCCTCCAAAATCAAGCCAGTCTAGAAGTTGTTCCCCACTTTGCATTCTGTCCTCATGCCAAGCCTGTGAGGTATTCGAAGCTGTGGGAGAGGGAGAGAGAGAGGCTGGCTCAAGGTCACCGGTGGAACTTCCTAAATGCTCGGGTATTTAAATCTAGGTCTCTACACTCCAACTACTGAATCACATTGATCCTCTGCTGTATAACAGCTCACTTGCTCTCCCCATCCTCAGAAAGCAGCACAGTGCATTGTTCATTTACTCCCAGACTTGCTACCATTCCAATTGCTGTTGACATTAAAAAATGCTTTGCTATAACTTGGCCAGAGCATTAAACACTTTCAGTCCTTTTTATTGTAGCCTAGGGCATCTGTCGATTAAACCCAATACTGTGGTCTAAACCACTGAGCCTAGGGCTTGCCGATCGGAAGGTTGGCGGTTCGAATCACCGCGACGGGGTGAGCTCCTATTGTTCGGTCCCAGCTCCTGCTTACCTAGCAGTTCGAAAGCACGTCAAAGTGAAAGTAGATAAATAGGTACTGCTCCAGTGGGAAGGTAAACAGTGTTTCCATGCGCTGCTCTGGTTTCACCAGAAGTGGCTTAGTCATGCTGGCCACATGACCCAGAAAAATTGTCTGCAGACAAACGTCGGCTCCCTCAGCCAGTAAAGCGAGATGAGTGCCGCAACCCCAGAGTCGTTTGCAATTGGACTTAACTGTCAGGGGTCCTTTACCTTTAGCATTACTAGCAATGTGACACACCTTCCTCAACTGTCTTTTAGTGAAGCCCAAACGCACAGTCCTATTGTCACACAGGGTGGTGGAATAAGCACACCATAGGAAACATTGTTAGGATTATTTACCAACAGTCTGTGGCAGCAATCTTTCAAATATCACCACAACCATTCACATACTGTCTCACACACTCTCTAAGGAAGCCCAACTGGCATATAAGCCGAGCACAGACCACACTGTGCCATTAATGAAGCCCTTGTCGTTGCAATAGTTTTTACCCATTCTTGATTCCTTCAGACACCAGCTTTTAGAAAACAAGTTGCAATCATCAATCTTTGAATGGTCCATTGTTCCTTATTTGGCATTTTCTTTGCCTCTGCAAACTACAGTATGCTAGCATAGGAAAGCAACTGGGGTGAGATGTTTTCCTCTTATGAAGAACCTAAATAGTACAATGACAATCTAGGAACCTCAGAATTTGCAGCTTGCTAAATTCAGTTATAATTCAGGTATACAGAGGGGCATTGCTTACAATGCCATTTTATTTTATTTTTCTCAATTGGGATAATATACTTCTCCCCTTCCGCAATTAAAAAGGGAGAGAGGGACCACTTTGTAGCAAAACTATTATCTTCATCTCTATGAAATAATTTTATGCATGTGATTAAAAAGCAATTGAAAATTATTTAGCAACGCCCTGTTCTCTGATAGTATCTCCTTTTGACACATAGCAAAGTTGCACCAGGTGGAAAGAATATTGCAGTCTAGTGTAGCAAAGAACAGCAGCACCCAGGAAATATCGGAGTCTCTCACAAGCAAGGGAAAACCCTTCTGTTAAGACGTGATACTTCCCATGGGGCATAAAAAGAGATTTAAACCACCAGCTGACAAAAATAATTGACTGTTTGTGGCCAATATTGCTGGCTTTGGCTGAGCTCCACCCCTGCCAGGAACACTGCTGTACAGGTGGCAGTCCCTAGTAAATCTCTGGAGACCAGAGGCACTGCCCTAGAATACGTTTCCTCATGCAGGGAACCTTATGCAACAGCTCAAGCATGTCAACTTAACGAGGAAGGGATGATGTAGTTTATAGGGAAAGTATAGGATTATAGACCTAGAGTAAAATTAGGGAGAGAAAACAATAGCAAATCATCTCACTGTTCATCAGTTGTTGCCGCACATTTGGGCAACGATTATTGTGAAATCCCATCCTTATATATCCAAGGAGCAGAGAAAACTCAGTTTGGTACTGTGGACAGCGTTGGGGCAAGAGGCGGAAATATAGATACCATACAAAGGTTAACTCATGGTATCGCAGTGTCAACACACGTTTGTTGGAACAAATGCAGAACTAGTTACATTTTTTAAATACCCAAGAGACATTGAATCACAATTCCTTAGTCAATAGATAGGTTTGCACTGAGGGGGGGGGGCTCCCTGCCTCTTTCGGTCTCTATGATTCTACACATACATATACAATTTTATATATTCGGTGGACAAAATACACACCTGTCAACATACCCATAATGCCTGAAGCATATTTGTGAGTTTTTAACCAGTCAGGGAAATAAGCCAGGAGTGCTAACATTCATTCATTCAGTTTTCAAATAATTGTTTCCTTAGGTGAAGACCTATTTCAGACACTGGGCTCACAATATTGCTTTCAGCACAAAGTAATCTGGACATGAAGACAAGAGTGTCGTCTTCTGTTCATTGTCAAGCTTTTAATTATTTCTCCTTACCTTCTGTTTCATGAACTTCTTTGTATTTTCTGATGCAGTTCTGAAGAAAAGAAATGTGTTTCAGATATCCGGGTTAAGTAGGCAGTGCATTGGTTTGTCTTAAGCATACAGAGTCCTTCAACGAAAAGGTCCTGAGGTTGAACATCCAGAATTTCCTGTATGTATCTTGAAACATGATGTATTGGGCTCACTCCCTTACAGGTCTTGTCCAGTCTTTGGGATAGGAAGATGCCATTTCAACTGGTTTCTTCTTCTTCTTTCACAACCAAACTTTGTTGTGGCCCCAGTGCAGCTAGTGGAGTCTCCAGCATATACTCCCAGGAGCCAGCAAGGCCTTCACAACAGCGAGTAGATCAATAAAGTATTTCCCAGGCATCAGATTGCCAACTTTGACAAAAAGGAGGGGGGTGCAGATGCTCAAATGATGGAACTGAAAATAAAAACAAAACCCCATTGCAAACAGAGAACTAGCACAATCCCTACCAAGTTAATGAACTATATTGATAAGCTGATTTATAACCTGGAGGAAAAAGAGAGAGCCAAGCTTAACAGACCTGAGTGTGCTAGTCCTACAGGTAGAGAGGCCTAAGGGGCAAATGGAACCAGGTTGGGGGTTAATGCCAGCAGCAATTGCGGTCAGCCGGCTGTTGCCTCTGTCCTTCTAGCAGCAGGGAAGTGAGGCAGGAGAGTACCACCATCTGATCTTTTATAGCTCTTTGTTTATTAGCTGTGTGCCCCTATTTCATAAGGCAGTGCTTGCTAAGAGAGCACATGAAGGAAGGAATGATGAAGATGACTATTAGCTCTAGTCCAAGGACACCTTTTCTTAAGCCTCTTTCATAGCAGCAGGCATGGAGGAACAGCCTAGCAATTGTTCTCTCAAATGTCACCTTTCTGTATAGGCCACTGTGCCGGCGAAACCATGCTCTTGTTGGAAGGCACTATTTTTTTTCATTTTTTTTCTTTACCCATTAAAAAAAATAACTTTGCTATTCTGCACATATCTCCAAAGACTGACAAGGGATGCTTTTCTTCTTTTCCCAGCTGCCCTCTTCATCCTCTTTCCCCCTCCCTTTTTTCTTTTTCTACCCCCCTTCTTCACACAGTTTGAACAATTTGTCTCTGTTCTATCACATTCCTGCGCAGTCCATTCTTTAGGTGCCCTGCATAAGATTTACACTTGGTGGAAGAACGGTGAGCAGGGAGGGAGGTGGGAGGAGTGGAAGGTAATACAAGGACTACATTTAGATAGAGCAGGAAAGTGAACCGAACGTAGTCCAAGATTGTTGTGCCATCAATTTAATACCTGAGCGAGGAAAACAAAGAGCCTTCAGAGAATTTGTGACCCTTCCCCCATCCCGAAGGGAACTGAGGGAAAGATTTTTTTATTTTTTTTTAAGGGTTGAAAGGAAAGGCACATAACATAATTAAAGCCTTCCAAGTCATTTCTTGAGGGGACAATATGTGATGATAGAGAACTACACAGGTTAATTGTACCGCTGGTATTCGCCTTATTATTAAAATGCTTTGGCATGAGGAAAATATCCTGCACCAGCGTTCCAAAACCCCTTCGATGCAGATGCTTCTGCTGAGGGTGGTTCAGGCAGATGTTGCGAGTAGGTGTTGTCGTAGATATAAAAAACAATGCCCTTAATAAAACCTAATACAGTGGTACCTCAGGTTACATACGCTTCAGGTTACATATGCTTCAGGTTACAGACTCTGCTAACCCAGAAATAGTACCTCGGGTTAAGAACTTTGCTTCAGGATGAGAACAGAAATCGTGCTCCGGCAGCGTGGCGGCAGTGGGAGGCCCCATTAGCTAAAGTGGTGCTTCAGGTTAAGAACAGTTTCAGGTTAAGAACGGACCTCCGGAACGAATTAAGTACTTAACCTGAGGTACCACTGTATAGAGAATCGTTGACAGTGCTATTTTTCTAGAAAAAGAGGTGTGGGAACTCACCATGAATACCTCCCTTGTTCTCTCAGAATTGCAATGGTGCCCACCTGAGAGGTGCCAGAACTGAGTTTCAGCAAGTTCTGGCTGCAAAAAATAAATAAATCCTGATCATAGAACTGTAGATTTGGAAGGGACCTGGGGGGGGGGGTCATCTAATCTAGTGGTTCCCAGCCAGGAGCCCTGGGATATTCCATGGGGGCCACAGTTGAAAATTGCATAAATGGGGCTGCCACAGCACGAGGCTAGGGGGCCACAGAAGGAAATGAGAAGTGATGGGGGGAGAACTTTTTTTTATTAAAAAAATCCTGATTGGCTGGCTATCCGCTTGGCCAAGCACAAGTGGGTAAGGGGGCAGCCCACTAGGGCCTAGTGCTGCTTTTTGCCACATGCATTTTCTTGAGGCGTCCTGCTCTGTTTCCAGTGGGGAAGGGAGTGTTTTGACTAGTAGAGCCCATGCCAGAACCCCCAGGTCAGGTAAGTGCAATGGTGGGGTGGCAATGGGTAGGGCTGGGCGAGCCAGAGCTGCTTGTTGCTGCCGCCAATGCTGGGCTCGTTGGCAGCCTGGGCCTGACTCCTCAAGGTGCAGGGTGCAATCCACCCCAGCACCTAGCGGATTGGGGCCTTCAGATGTTGCTGAGGGGGGCAGGGCTCATTGGCAGCGGCAGCCTGGCTCTGCAAGGCGCGGGGTGAAATCCACCTCCAGAGTCATCTGGTGCTGCTGACTTGCATCTAGTAAATAACTGTCTACTCAGAAGAAAGCCACACTGAGTCCAGTGGGCTTTACTCCCAAGTAAGGGTGTGTGGGGCTATAATGTTTTATCTAGGCAGCCAGGGCTCCTCCAGACGACAAGATCTTTTTGCACCAGGTCAGTGAGGACCGCTCGCTTTTTAGAATTGTCCCATATATACAGAACTCCCTTTGCACCTTTTGGGCTCTCTGTAGGTTTTGCCCTCTGCGTCAAATAATTGGGGTCAAATAAGCGTTGTTTCCTTTTTATAACACATCGAAGATGGATCTCCCTCAGGAGGTGCTGGACTCTCCTTCCTTGGAAGTTTCTAAACAGAAGCTGGATGGCCACCTGTCATGGATGCTTTAGCTGAGTTTCCGACATTGCAGGGGGTTGCACTAGAAAGATGATTCTATGTTTTTCTGCTTCAACAAAATTTCATTATATTCCTTTCATTTTATGTAATTGTATTTTGTATAAATAAATAAAAACTATAAATAACACATGTTCTATTTACAAACAAAACATTTAAATAGCTAGCTTTCTACTAGTAGGACGGTGGGGGCATAGCCAGGATTTTTGTTAGGAGGGCAGACTTGGGGGGGGGGGAGAGAGAGAGATCCGAAGATTTGTATTGATTTTTACTTATCTGGTGGGCAGCTATGCCCATGGAGGGGGCCACAGTCTGAAAAAGGTTGGGGAAACACTGATCTAATCCAACGAAGCCAACTAAAGCATCCATGACAGATGGCCATCCAATCGTTGCTTAAAAACTTGGAGGAAGGAGAGTCCACAGCCTCCCGAGGGAGTTCATTCCATTGTCAAACAACTCTTGCCATCAGAAGGTTCTTCCTGATGTTTCGTTGGAATCTCCTTTCTTGTAACTTGAAGCCATTGGTTTGAGTCCTATCTCCTCTCAGTCTCATCTTTACCACACAAAACATACCAATCTTCCTCAACCATTCTTCATAAGGCTTGGTTTTCCAGACCCTTGATCATCTTGATCTCCGAGAACGTTATTTGTTAACAAAACTCCCTATGAAAGAATTCGTGACTTAGACTGTTTTTTAAAAAAATTAATTAATACGCTACAGTGGTACCTCAGGTTAAGAACTTAATTCATTCTGGAGGATCGTTCTTAACCTGAAACTGTTCTTAACCTGAGGTACCACTTTAGCTAATGGGGCCTCCCACTGTCACCACACCACTGCAGCGCGGTTTCTGTTCTCATCCTGAAGCAAAGTTCTTAACCCAAGGTACTACTTCAGGGTTAGCGGAGTCTGTAACCTAAAGTGTCTGTAACCTGAAGTGTCTGTAACCTGAGGTACCACTGTAAAGGTAAAGGTACCCCTGCCCATACGGGCCAGTCGTGACCGACTCTAGGGTTGTGCGCTCATCTCGCTCAAGAGGCCGGGAGCCGGCGCCGTCCGAAGACATTTCCGGGTCACGTGGCCAGCGTGACGAAGCTGCAACTGGCGAGCCAGCACCAGTGCCGCACATGGAAACGCCATTTACCTTCCCGCTATAAAGCGGTACCTATTTATCTACTTGCACTTAAGGGTGCTTTCGAACTGCTAGGTGGGCAGGAGCTGGGACCGAACGATGGGAGCTCACCCCGCCGCGGGGATTCGAACCACCGACCTTACGATCAGCAAGTCCTAGGCACTGAGGTTTTACCCACAGTGCCACCCGCGTCCCTGTACTTGATTGCAATTCTGTACCTACTTACCTGGGGGGTATGTTCCATTGAACTTTTAAAGGGCTAAAACAGGAAAGATTGGAACTTTAGAGACTAACTAATTTATTATGCTGTAAGCATTCATGAACTATGTGACCCCAGCTGCCCATTGGAAGATTTTTTTTTTTCAAAAAACCTTCTAACTGATGCCACACCTCAAGCAGCTACTTCTGGCATGGGTTTACTCTAATACAGATTTGAGCCATTTCATTAAACTCTTAAATGTTTCCTTAAACGCTTCAGTTGCAAGAAATGTCAATAATTAAAACAAAAAGAGCAACGGTTGAGTGTGAAGTTGCTTTAAAATTCTGTTCCAACCCCCTTCCCCCATTGGTATCTTTTCAAGGTAATATCTAAAAAAAATAAGTTGCTGCCTTTGTAGTTTCACAATTATATGCAGTAAGATAAGCCAGTGCTGTTAAGCAATTACAGTTTGACCACTTTCCATTCCTGTCTCACCTCTTCTCAGTATTTTTTTTTTTCTGGGTTGCTGTTCAAATACATTGCTCTCTACTCTTGATTAACCTCATTTAAACCAAAAGCATAAACTCCAGGTACTCTGTTTATTCCAAGCAATAAAGCCAGGATATTATTCTCTCCGATGACAAACGTGGATTAATTTTCAGCAGAGTTCCTTCGGCAAACTTTTAATACCGTGAATAGCTCTGCTATCAGATGACAGATAAAAGGACTGTCATATCTAAAGCTCATTTCAATTTTTGGCCCAATATAACACCAGCTTTCAAGGTGATGCAATTATGTTCCGTTGCCTTTTTAATTGTTATTCCTACTAGCTGGTGCATAAAATTCAATTAGTTCAACGCTATTCAATGTGAGTTTAAAAGGGGGAGGGATACACTGATGCTGCATCTATCGTGTATATCATCCATAAATTAACACGCAAGCCTCTAACACAGCAATCAAAACTATAAGTTGTCAGTGTAAATAACTCCAGAGTAAATTATACCAAGGTAATTCACACCCTCTTCCACACTTGGTTCAGGAGAGGGGCTACTGCCAGCTTAGCCACTCTGAGCCTGGCAGAGGGAAAACAAGCCTTTAGAATAGAGTTTCACTTACACCCTCCTTTTTGTCAGTGTTAACTTCAGCTGGGTTGTTAGAGAACATGATCAAACTGAACAGAGTTTGGAACGGGGTAAGCAGGGCTGGTTTTAGGTTTGATGAGGCCCTAAGCTACTGAAGGTAATGGGGCCCTTTATATGTCCAGCTGTCCTTTGTCAACAACAAAGTTTGGTGTGCAGTTTTTTTGTGTTGAATACATGCTTTATGGTGATTTATGGACCTAACATAACAAATAGGAGCCTACACAAACCAAAACATTGTTGCTGTATGTAGGTTTTATTTTATTTGTTTTTTATCTTATGCAGTGGTACCTCGGGTTAAGTACTTAATTCGTTCCAGAGGTCCGTACTTAACCTGAAACGGTTCCTAACCTGAAGCACCACTTTAGCTAATGGGGCCTCCTGCTGCTGCTGCGCCGCTGGAGCACGATTTCTGTTCTCATCCTGAAGCAAAGTTCTTAACCTGAAGCACTATTTCTGGGTTAGTGGAGTCTGTAACCCAAAGCATATGTAACCTGAAGCGTATGTAACCTGAAACGTATGTAACCTGAAGCGTATGTAACTTGAGGTACCACTGTATTTTGGAAATGTACATCCAGGTGTTATTTTTCCTTTTTAAAAAAATTGGGGCCTCAAGAGAGTGGGGCCCTAAGCTATAGCTTGTTTAGGTAAATCCAGCACGTAAGTCCAGCACAGGGGTAAGTCTCCTCCCCACCACCACGCCCCTGTCATGCCCCTTTGGGGGACTAATCCTGACCCAGCTCAGCCAGCTTTGGCTGAGCCAGAACTGACTACTTCTGCCAGTGCATCTCTGGCTGAGCGGGGGTGAGAGACTTCAGCAGGCTGAGCCAGAGATCTTCCTATGCCAAATTCCACACATCCCAGTGGAGCTGGGCTTTGGATTGTTCCCTAAAATTGTGTGATTTTATCATGCTTTTCATTTCATTTCATTTATTATTTCTTTATTGAATTTGTTGATCTTCCTCATAATGTCTCTCTCTCTCTCTCTCTCTCTGGGCATTGGTTTCTCAGCAATTTAAAACAAAAATCTCATAGAGCAAAACAGATAACAGCTGCAGTCTCAGTACTAGGGAGCTCAAGCCAACTTGGCCTGCAGATGAAGGGTTATGGTTTGGCAGCAGAGCGCATCCTTAGCAGGTTCATTCTCCAGCACCTCCAGGTAAGACTGGGAGAAACCTTGGAGAGCCACTGCCACAGTACTAAGCCATAACCTCCAATGTTTCTCTGATGAAAATAGGGACATCCTATTCCATAATAATGGAATGGGACGCAGGTGGTGCTGTGGTCTAAACCACAGAGCCTAGGACTTGCCAATCAGAAGGTTGGCGGTTCGAATCCCCACGATGGGGTGAGCTCCCGTTGTTCAGTCCCTGCTCCTGCCAACCTAGCAGTTCGAAAGCACATCAAAGTGCAAGTAGATAAATAGGTACCGCTCTGGCGGGCAGGTAAACGGCGTTTCCATGCGCTGCTCTGGTTCGCCAGAAGTGGCTTAGTCATGCTGGCCACATGACCGGGAAGCTGTACGCCAGCTCCCTTGGCCATTAAAGCGAGATGAGTGTCGCAACCCCAGAGTCGTCCGCGACTGGACCTAACGGTCAGGGTTCCCTTTACCTTTCTTCCATAATAATAATAATAATAATTTTATTATTTACACCCTGCCCCAGCCACTCTGGGTGGTTTTCAACATATTAAAAACATAATAAAAAATTAAACATTCTTTTTAATTAAAAAAACAAAAACCCTTCCCTATACAGTGGTACCTCCAGTTACGAACTTAATCTGTTCTGGAGGTCTGTTCGTAACCGGAAACCGCTCGTAACATGAGGCATGCTTTCACTAATGGTACCCCCTGCTGCTGCCGCACCGCCAGAGCGTGACTTCCGCTCGCATCCTGGGGCAAAGTTCGCAACAAGGGATATCTACTTCTGGGTTAGCGGAGCACATAACCCGAAGCATTTGTAAGGGGGATGGTACATAACACAAGGTGTCACTGTACAGAGCTCCAACATTTCTCCAGTGAAAATAGGGGCGTCCTTAGGAAAAGCGGGACATTCTGGGATCAAATCAGAAACTGGGATAGCTTCTGTAAATCCAGGACTGTCCCTGGAAAATAGGGCCACTTGGAGGGTCTGCGAACTGATATGGTATACAGCTGCTTCCTATGGGAAACTTAATGGGCATCAGCCAGCGAGACAGATAGGGAATGGCCCTGGCCCTGTAGTAATAGGAACCCCAGTGCAGTTCCCAGTTCTGTCCCTGCATCTTTAAGAGCTAGGTGGACAGGAACAAAATTCAAAGCAGGTGGTGGTATGAAACATTCTGCTAAACTACTGTAGCCTTCCAGAGGTGTCACAATTGTGATAAGTGCTGTTTAAACTTTACCCATAGCTAAACATCAAGTGTCAACAGTAGCTCATGCCCAAACTCTCCGCACAGGAGTAGGCAAACATCTAATCAAGAGAGGACATCAAAGCTGTGATGCAAAGGAGATGGGAATGCTTTAACTCTCTAGTTCCCATGCTGTCTGGGCGCCTTTGAATAATTCACCTCCAGCTACCTGAGACAGGTATTTTATACCTAAAGCATCCCCATTCAGTGGTTTCTTGAGTGCTTATAATCCATTCAGAATCTTTCAAAATGCTACCAAATTTGCCAATTCTATGGCACGGCATTCCCCCACCCCATAACAGAAGCATTGGGCTTCTGCCTGTTGGGACTACTAGGGCAGAAGGTGAGGTGGCTACCAGTAGGTGGACGCGGGTGGTGCTGTGGTCTAAAGTGCTGATCCTCTTGGGCTTGCCAATTAGAAGGTCAGCGGTTCAAATCCCCACGACGGGGTGAGCTCCCGTTGCTCTGTCCCAGCTCCTGCCAACCTAGCAGTTCGAAAGCACACCAGTGCAAGTAGATAAACAGGTACCGCTGTGGCGGGAAGGTAAACGGCGTTTCCATGCGCTCTAGCTTCCGTCACAGCCTGAAAGCAAGATAAGCACCGCAACCCCATGGTCGCCTTTGACTGGCCTTAACTGTCCAGGGGTCCTTTACCTTTACCTTGCCTTACCAGTAGGTGGAGCTAGGGCCAGTGACAGTCAGATCCAACTAAAATACTAGCTTTGCCTCCATCCTCTCCTCTACTGAATTGTACCCTGACATTGCAGGTGTCATCAATAAGACTAAGGCCTCACCCACACTTAACCTTGCTTTGCATTTCTAGGCACAGGTCTGGGCTTTCCAGATCCATGTCTGACAGCATTTGTGTTATGTTGTTATGTTATGTTGTTATGTTATGTTATGTTATGTTATGTTATGTTATGTTATGTTATGTTATGCTATGTTATGTTATTTTTGCCACAGCACTTTCCCCACAAAATAACCCTGCTCTTTACCACTGAATCAGAGCAAATGACAATGCATGGAAAACCCAAATTGTATACCCTCCAACATTTCTCCGATGAAAATAGGGACGTCCCATTCCATAACGATAATTTTACTGTTTATACCCCACACATCTTACAGGATTATCCCAGCCACTCTGGGCAGCTTCCAATTGCCTTCAGACAGCTCGGGGGTCGGATAACTCTAAATATGGCAGGGCAAAAGAAGAAGAAAAGGGCACACTGACTGGGAAAGCACGGGGACAAAAGGCCAGTGTGGGTGAACCCTAAGAAGGAGGAAGCTGACAGTCAGTACCATGCACCTAGGATGGTTGCAAAGAGGAAGGCAGGCAAAGCGGAACGAGGTTGATGGGTCAATGCCCCATTCACTCTAGTAGGCCGACCTCCAAAGCATTGCTTGCAAGTTATGTGCTTAACGTAAGTTATGTGCATCAAGTTATGTGCATGAAACGTATTTCAGCTGTAGTGTGGACAGGGCCGTCTTTAGCATATGTGCCACTGGGGTGCAAAGATCCACCCAGTTTAGCCCCCAAATTAACTTTTATTATGCCTTATGTCACTATTATCATTTGATAAATAGTGCTCACACCTGCGCAGCTCCAAAAGGAGTCTTTTTGTGTGTGTTTTGTTTTAAACCAGCTTTTCTAAAGATGACAAAGAACACATTGGGAGTCAGTGTAAAGACTCCATACGTGCGCTTACGGTCATAGGGAGGTGTCTGAAAGATGAGACGGGCAGACATTGTGCGCATAAATGGGAGAGCCATCTCAGGCAGCCTTTCATTGTGGAAGCAACCTTATTTCTCAAGGAGCTGGGAGGGCCCTGGTGAGCGCACATATACGAGTTCCGGCACCTATGCGCACTCCCGTCGCTAAATAGGCGCATTCTCTTTCTGTCTGTCTCTCCCTCTTTCCTGTCACTCCCCCTCCTCCCAGCTTTGGTGAGCGAGACTTTCCAGAGAGCTCTCCCTGCAGCGGCATTAGCAGGCAGGTGGCGCAAGATTAGGCGGTTTTAGTGGCAGGCGCCTGGCGCCCCCCCAGAATTCAGTGACCGGGTGCCCCGCACCCCTTGCATCCCTTGGTAAAGATGGCCCTGAGTGTGGATAGAGTGCACTTATATTTGTCCTCTAAAGTTCCTGCAGCAAGTGAAGTGGGAGAACCTCATCCACTGCATGGTCATCCCAACTCTCGTTTAAGTGCTATGCAGCTGCATCCTAAATATCTGAAACAGAAAAGCTGGGATTTGTTTCCAGGGTTCCCTAGACAGAGAAAAACAGATAGGCACATTTCTTTTATGATTTGTTGTTGTTGTTGTTGTTGTTGTTTTAAAAAAACACAACTTATGTTTCGCACTACTATTGAGACTGATGCCAATTCAATGTGTAATCTTACAACCTGCAATGGCAGCCACTGCAGGTCACTTGAGAAGTTGAATGCCCATGTTGATCTGAGCGGCTCTCAGCCAGCACTGCCACAGGCAGGATTCAGCTTCCAACGTACTGAATCTTGAGCCCAGCATTAGACCACACCATCAGCCCACCTCAGCCTGGGAGCCCATGTGTAAATAGGTCCCTTTTTTCCAACGATAAAAAACAGTTAGCTGCTTTAAACAGCTGAGTGTTCATTAGGTGTCTGTCCGTTAATTCCAGAGTCCATTAGATCCAAACCCATCACCCTAGAATTAGTTCACATAAAAATCCTGTCAGCAAACAAACCCAGATCATTTGGAATTATCTCAAGAAAAGTTGAAAAACACCATCTGCCAGATGTTTTTTAAAAATCATCATCATCATCTCCCCTTCCCCCACATTAAATATACATGCATTTGAAGTTCACAGTGTCTTTTATTAATCAATACCAAATAATCCCAAGATAAACTGTGCAGTAAACATTCTAATGAGAACATATGGCAGAGCAGACTGATAGTGTTCTGCCTTTCACGTGCAAAGGTAATATTTATGAACACACAGCAGGGTTGTTCTTTTTAAGAAGCCAGTAAATCTTTATATACTGAAATACAGGCTTTCAGACCTTCATTTTCGTGTATTAGAAGTATTAACATAGTTCTGTCATATCTAGGTAGACTTGCGACTAGCACAGCAATAATGCCTTGAGGAATTAAAGGTAAAGGTAAAGGGACCCCTGACCATTAGGTCCAGTCGCGGATGACTCTGGGGTTGCGCCGCTCATCTCGCTTTATTGGCCGAGGGAGCCGGCATACAGCTTCCGGGTCATGTGGCCAGCTTGGCTAAGCCGCTTCTGGCGAACCAGAGCAGCGCACGGAAACGCTGTTTACCTTCCCGCCGGAGCGGTACCTGTTTATCTACTTGCACTTTGACGTGCTTTCAAACTACTAGGTTGGCAGGAGCAGGGACCGAGCAACCGGAGCTCACCCCGTTGCAGGGATTCGAACAGCTGACCTTCTGATCGGCAAGCCCTAGGCTCAGTGGTTTAACCCACAGCGCCACCTGCGTCCCTATCTTTAGGAATTAGGGTGCACCAAATATTTTCCACTATTTTTTATTAGTGCCATTTTCTTTCTCCTTTCGCAATGTCCTTGACCTTGTTTGAAGCACCATTTAATCTGATTGCCTGTGATGGCATGTGGCATTGTTCACAGATGTTCATAATGTTATCAGATCAGATGTAGTGTTGTGATGTCATCAGCACTCTATCACTCTGTCAGGGCAAATGTGGCTAAGAGCAAAGAAGGAAAATGGTGCCCTGGAGCCAAAGTCAGGGGAAGAACACAGGGCAATGGGATGATATTTCATTCTTAGCATCCAAACCATTCAAAATGGGAGATGCTCTTCACTATTCAAGAAAACAAACACAAAAGGAAACATTTGACTCAGTACCAAAAGATTGTAAAGGGCTGCGCACCTCATAGACCCATAGCTGTCAACTTTCCCCCGTTTTTTAAGGGAAATTCCCTTATTCCAAATAGGATTCCTCGCAAGAAAAGGGAAAAGTTGACAGCTATGCATAGACCATAGATACTCTCTTCAAGTTATTTCCTTTGCTCAGTCGCCAATGGGGACAGCTGAAAAATATCAAATAGAAAAAGCAGCCATCTTGTCAAACCTCATCCACCTTAAAGCTCCTACACACCGCAGTCATAAATCACCTCTGTGAGGTCCCTGAGGAATGCCGCTCATTCTTCACAAGGACTTTAACCACTCAATGCAAACAACGAGGCAAGCATTCCTGGGAGACCATGCGCAGGGAGGCAGAGGAGAGAGGCCAGGCCTAATCAATCTGGCAGACTTTCCCACACTTTCTGCTATCCGTTTTTATCTGTGTTGTAACCCAACATGTCAAGGACTTTCGGATGGTGCCAAAGGTGGCTTTCTGACCCAATATGCTCTGACACTGACACTTTCACAGGGTTCAGCCTCCCGCACCTGAGAAGCAGTTTTAAAGGTGGTAAATCTGCACACGGGGAGGGGGAGTTACTAATATATCCCCTGTAGATCCGCATACCTATGGCAGCTGCTGAAACTGCTTCAGATTATTCTACCTGGCAAGCAAGGAAATCAATCCTGATGCACCTGCTCCAGAAACCTGCCTGCCTGCCCCTAAGCGCTAGTGCCAAAACCAATAGCAATCAGGGGTAAGACTGGATAGGAAGGAAGTGAGCTCAGTCTGAGAAGACAGCTTGTCAGAGGTAAGGGTTGAGAGATGAGCCATCTCTGTGAAGGGGGAGTTGCAGAGAAGTTTCCTGGTGATAGATCTCATCTCATAACTCAAAAATGTGTGAGCACATTCTCTGGAAAAGGCAGAGGAGCGAAATGCTACGGAGATTATTTTTTTGAGTTGACGTCTCCAAATTGTACATACAAAGCAATGCTAAAGCCAGTGTTGTGGGGAAAGGTTGAAAGGCAAGGAAGATTAGCATGACATCAGCCACACTCTGGAGTGAATGACTGGCCATTTCTGAGGTGGGAAAAGGAATTCGCATGAGAAACAGGGTGCATGAATGTTTTATTGGGGGGAAAAAACCAAACCTGAAAGTTGTACTATGTTTTGTGGGATGTGATACATAAGTAGCAGTCAAGTACAACATTCCTTGTTTTCCTAGAGTGGACATGCAGGGGAATGTTTGGTCCAGCCAGTTGAAAACTTCCTGTTTCCTCCTGGCTGGGACATACTTCCTTTTGCATGTGACTAGAGGTGGGCGTGACCTTATCTGTCCAGGTAACAGAAGGGCAAGTCAAGCAGCACACCTCCTCTCTTTGATTTCCTCCATTGTTAGAGCAGCAACTTTTAGCTAGAGATGCTCTGTTGACTTCCAGCCAACAGAGGACACTGGGACTATCTCCATATGGGATAGATCCACATGTATATACTTTGTAACTAAGTCTGCCTTCAGGGATCCAACTGTGAACTGATGATGTGAGTAAACTTCTTTTATATACAGTGGTACCTCGGGTTAAGAACTTAATTCGTTCTGGAGGTCCGTTCTTAACCTGAAACTGTTCTTAACCTGAAGCACCACTTTAGCTTATGTGGCCTCCCTCTGCCGCCACATTGCCAGAGCATGATTTCTGTTCTCATCCTGTAGCAAAGCTCCTAACCCGAGGTACTATTTCTCGGTTAGCGGAATCTGTAACCTGAAGCATCTGTAACCTGAAGCATATGTAACCCGAGGTACCACCGTACTTTACACAAGATTGTGGCGTGTTTATTCTTTTAAGAGGGATATAAGGGAACTCACCAGGAATCTAATACTGAGAGGCTTAAACAAGCCTGCAACCAGCTTTCTGCTGTACATTCAAAAGGGGAATGTGAAACTCTGCTAAGTAAAGGAACTTGCTAGCACAAGTTAGGAAGGATATTAATAAACAATATATCCTCTCCTGCCTCCCTGAACATTCCCACATGTTCTACCAAACCATTATTAGGACACAAGATTATCAGTGTTGATCGGTTTGAGGGTTGGTGATTATCTGATCTCAGGACCAGCCCCAAATATTTTACTGTCATGGGAGAAGGACAAAGGAGCACCCACCCACTTACTTTTTATGTACAGAAACTAGTGGGCACCTCACTATCACCTCCTAACATCTGCCAACCAAGGCAGATGGCTTACTCTGCCTAATGGCTGGGCCACTGGTCCTGTCCTGCCATGGACTGGTCCTGCCTTATATCCAAGAGGCCCTCAAACACCTTTTGAAGTCTATGAGCTCATCCACACTTCCACTTGTGCCATACCTAAAAAGCACGGGGCCAAGAAGTTTTCCGCTCGACCCTCACTTTCTAGACTGAGTGGTATTCTCTTTGCCCCACGCCTTTCCCAGGGAAATCCCACTCTTTATCGATAGACCAGAACCAATGACAATCCAGGGGAAATCTTACTTGCTGTTTGCTGTTAAGATCCTTTTCTTAACATTGTGACAGTCCAGATTGGTGCTTACCCTTGCAGCCTGAAGGTTAAAGGGCAGAGCTATGGCGCTGTGGGTTAAACCACAGAGCCTAGGACTTGCCGATCAGAAGGTCGGCGGTTCGAATCCCCACGACGGGGTGAGCTCCCGTTGCTCGGTCCCAGCTCCTGCCAACCTAGCAGTTCGAAAGCACGTCAAAGTGCAAGTAGATAAATAGGTACCGCTCCAGCGGGAATGTAAATGGCATTTCCATGCACTGCTCTGGTTCGCCGGAAGCAGCTTAGTCATGCTGGCCACATGACCCGGAAGCTGTACGCCGGCTCCCTCGGCCAGTAAAGCGAGATGAGCACCGCAACCCCGGAGTCGGCCACGACTGGATCTAATGGTCAGGGGTCCCTTTACCGATGAGTAAGGAAGTCCCTGGTTCAAATTTCATTTCTGCCATGAACTCACTAGACAACTTGCAGTCTCTCAACCCCAACACCAATTTGCAATATGGGGGATAATAATGCCTGCTTACCTTACAGGGCTTTTTTGGTACATAATGCCTAAATATTCGGCAACAGCCCACTTTGCTACCGTCTCGCTTCAGTATCATTCAGACCCTCAAGAGTTTGGTGCAAGTCTGAAGTTTGTTGCCTCTTTTCCACGAAAACCTTGGCTGAGGCTTACACGCTTCTTTACTCAGAAAACATGCCCTTTGCCACATCAATCCTAAATGTAGCAGCTTCGAAAAGCAAACAACAATCTCCAGGTTTGACACACTAGAGAGGAATCCAATCTTGATAGGAGAAGATGACCTATTACATCCTCTGCCGAGAATGAAAGTGATGTTTTCCTTTCTCATCTGAAGCTATGCTTAAAAAAAAAAAAAATTGCTTTGTAAAACTCTCTTCCTCCTGCATTGCAAACAGGAGTTTGGAGAAATGTGCCACCCCTCCAATCCTCCTAAAAGTGAATTATCTTCACCAACATGCTAAAGGTGAATGGGGTCACTTCATATGAAACCACACCAACATGGGGCATTTTTTCTAAGGCTGGAATGTAGTGTATATATAAGTGTGTCTGATCTCTGCAACCAACCTGTATGTGCCATGAGTTTGTCCTGTCTGGGTGATCCAGCGCTCTCTCTGTGTGTGTTAGGGCTGGGCAGTATATCAATATATCGTCCAAAGCCGGTTTGAAGTCCATATCATGATAACAGTCTCATAATTTTGACCTGGCAATTATCGTGAATCATGATGTGTGTATGTGTGTGTGCCATGCAAAAATCACAATGTGGGAAAAGCCGTGAAGGCAGTCGATGCTTCTACATAGCTCCATCCTTATTTCAGACATCGTGATATATTGGTGATATATATATTGTGATGTTTAGCTGGTGAGATATCACAATGTTGAAAACCAGGTATCGCCCCAGCCTGTGTGTGTGTGTGTGTGTGTGTGTGTGTGTGTCCTGCTCTGCTGTTAATCATAAGCCATCCTGGAAGTTATGACACTGAAGGAGTAGGAGATCAAGTGTTTCAAACCAACAAGGGAGGGAGGGTGGCAGAGGAGCCATTCCTGACTCCTTGCATCTCTGATGCAGACCCAGAACCTGCTTGCAGGCTTCCCATAGACATCTAATTGGACGGTGTGAGAATGGTATGCTGAACCAAGGCCTTTGAATTGATAATGGCAGGTTCTATTCACATTCTTGTGATGAGCTTTTGGTCAATTTGTTCCCTGGATGTCCAAGTGCAACAGATTATCTACTAGAACACCAAGTCCCTAACAGTGACTTGTCTTTCAAGAAGACATCCTTTCACTTTCTTTATTTTGCAACTGATTACGCAGGAAATTCAAGCTTGAACAGCTTCCCCATTGACAGATATAGGAGCACAAGGCCGGCAGCATCTCAGAAGAGTGGAAGTCCTGACAGTATCAGGACTTAAGAACTTAATTAATTGGGGTGGTAATATTGCACAGAGTGTTCTGAATCTCTTGACAGATCTTTCACTGTTCCTTATCTGCAGCCTAAGGATAATACTTATCCTTCTTGCTTGCTGGAATGCAAAAGAAAATGCATAAATCTTACATAATTTGGGCAGAGTTTTTCTCTGCAAGGAGTGGGAACAGGCAAGAAAGTTACATCTTATTCCCATCAGCATATTTGGACCATCTAGTATAAATCCACCATTAATACACTGTTATTGTGTCAATGGTGTGCTGCAAATGATTTGTTGCAAAAAACACTCCCCAAAAAGAGAAAGAAAAATCTGAAGGTGTCCATACTTTAAAAGCAACCTATTCATTGATGGAGAGTTGTCACTGAAATTTTGGCTGAAGCAAAGTTTACACCATCTTCAAGGGTCTCCCCTCAAGCAGAACCTCTGGGGATTTTTAAGCGGAACCCCAAGAGTTTCACATTGGTGGAATTTCTTGATGCATACAGTTCTAATGCAGATTTATATCATCCATATGCTATTTTTTTACAATTGTACTTTGGGGTGGGGGGGCGGATAAGAGACATAGCATTTCCCATTAAATATGTCATCAGTAACTCCCAAATGCGTGGGTGCCCTTTGTTGGCCATACCACTCGTAGTACAGTGGTACCTCAGGTTAAGTACTTAATTCATTCCGGAGGTCCCTTCTTAACCTGAAACTGTCCTTAACCTGAAGCACCACTTTAGCTAATGGGGCCTCCTGCTGCCGCTGTGCCGCCGGAGCACTATTTCTGTTCTCATCCTGAAGCAAAGTCTTAACCTGAGGTAATATTTCTGGGTTAGTGCAGTCTGTAACCTGAAGCATATGTAACCTGAAGCGTATGTAACCCGAGGTATCACTGTATTAAGGAAGTTTCTCCATCTCCACCTTTAGAAGTATGAGATAGCACAGAGAACTCCCCACTTTCCATGTGAGTCCTGATTCAGATTCACCATCTCTGAGAAACCAATGAGATAGCTTAGCTACCTACAACAGAGAAACGATGGTAGGGCAGTTCCATGGCATCTTACAGCAGGGGTAGGAAACTTGCCCTCGGATTAATTTCACATGTGTGGGGGGGGCTGGAGGGAGAGATGGAGGGGGAACAGGAGACAGCAAAAATGGATGGAGGTTTGGAAGGAGTGCACGGGGAGAGCAGGAGAAACACAGCAGTTGTGATCTTTGCTCTGGGGTCCCACACATTCTCATTCACGCTAAGCCATATTTTGGCTTAGCATTATGTGCGAACAGGGTCAGTAAATCGGGTGGTAGTTGCTTCCAAAGCATGCTTTCGTGACTTGAATAGCGAAATGGCTAAGTAACATTTGGCAGGATAGAATACACCCCTTATTACTAAAACCTTTAAAATACTAATCAGCAGGCTCTTAGTTCATTCAAGCAGAATTATTTTCAGTGAAGGTTGAAGCGGTTTATTTATTTCTCCATTGGAGTCCTTTAAAATTATTAGGATGCTGTTTATAAAATGGACCAAGAGAGGGAAGCAAAGGAAGGGAATGAAGGGACCAGAATTGGGTCTTTTCCAATGCCAATAAACCTATTTCTCTCCCTTATAGGAAAAAGGTTCCTGTGCAAATGTTAGCTTACATAGCCAGTCTCTGTACTGGCAGCCACCGCTGAGGCAAGGCCTCTTCACTTAACAGCACATTTGTCAGTAACAATGACTCCTTCCTTCTGTGGTTGGCAACACAGAATATGCAAAGGTAAGGATGAATGAAACAGATTGAAGTTATTGGCATCCCGTCTCTAGATGTCCTGCTCAAGCAGCTGGGAATGGAATCTGGGCTCCAGAGCATGGGGTTACCACCGTTTTGTCAGTTTACCTCCAATGTTTGTCCCAATTTTTTACGGCGCAGCTAGAAATCAAGTTGAGAAGTCTCCCATGCCCTTCTCCAGGTGTTGAGGTCTGTCACGCAGATGCCAACCCTGGTATCTCCCTCCCCTTAAGATACAAGGCACTGTATCACAGGATAGTGTTTCGACTCCCTGATCTTCCTCATCCCTTTGCATTTCTGGGCAAAGCTGCTAAGCATAACGGAGGTCTTATCCAGACTTCCTTTTGTGCCTCGCTTCTAGGCACAAGTTCACGTTTGTCGTGTCCAACTCCGGCCACTTCCCCCCCCCCAGCACTTTCCCCCCTTTGCTCCACTGAACTGGAGCAAACAGCAATCCATGGGGAACTCAAATTCCTGTACAGTGGTACCTCTGGTTACGTACTTAATTCGTTCTGGAGGTCCCTTCTTAACCTGAAACTTCTTAACCTGAAGCACCACTTTAGCTAATGGGGCCTCCTGCTGCCGCTGTGCCACCGCTGCACGATTTCTGTTCTCATCCTGAAGCAAAGTTCTTAACCTGAGGTAATATTTCTGGGTTAGCGGAGTCTGTAACCTGAAGTGTATGTAACCTGAAGCGTATGTAACCTGAAGTACCACTGCTTACAGTCGTATCTTGGAAGCCGAATGCCTGAGGAGTTGAACAGTTTGACTCCCGAATGCCGCAAACCCGGAAGTGAGGAACTTCCTGCAGCCAATCAGAAGCTGTGCCTTGGTTTCCGAACATTTTGGGAGTCGAACAGACTTCTGGAACGGATTCCGTTCGACTTCCAAGGTACGACTGTATTCTGATTTTGCTTTGAATTTTCACAGGGAAACCACCAGGATAAAAAGGAAAGGAACGCACACAGGCACAGCATGGATCTGTGCCTAGAAATTGTGGGGCAAAAGTTAAGTGTGGGCGAGCCCTGACTCAGCGGCAATTCAACAAGGTGTGTATATTACAAAGAGAGCAGAAGGGATGGAGCTGTTCTAGATTTTAGGCCAAGACCCCTTTGTGGTTGGGGGTGGGATGTCAGTTTACTGCAGATTGCTGAAAATCCCGGCCAACATTTTTTCTAAAAACCTAACTGCAGCTGTCACAAAGACTCAGAGTGAACTCTTCCTCAAGAAAAAAAACAATGTACAGGGTGAAATAAAAGGTTCTGAACATTTCCAGGCAAAATCCTCAAGTGGCAACACTTCAACACAGGCCCCTCCTAAGTCAAGTGAACAGTGACGGCATGGAACATATCAAGCTATTTTTCTGTGTGTTTGGAATTCACCTCCTGATCGCATATCCTATCCTGGAAGAATCAACGCTAGACAGTTCATGCAGTGCTTTAAGTTGCTTTTAGCCCTTCTAATACCAGACATTGAAGTTGTTTTGATTCCAAACAATGAAATGCATTGCTTCAATAAACAGCTAGTACTATATAGACCTGTGGTGCCAATTCAAAGCACATTGTAATAAATCCATGTTTGCATTTTAAGGATAATAGCAAGCTGAATTATTCCTATTTAAAAGACAATGGCAATCCTTTTCCCGACTATTCTTGGCACAGGTGTACATACACTATTTAGAAGCCAGTGTGGCATAGCAATTCGAGTGTTAGATCAGGGCTTGGAAGACACAGGTTCAAATCCTCACTCAGCCAGAAATCTGAATGAATGACCTTAAGCCAGTCACACATAGTCAGTGCCGGATTTACGTAGAAGCTAAACAAGCTATGACTTGGGGCCCCACTCTCTTGGGGGCCCCAAAAAAAGGTAAAGGAAAAAAACCTGGATGTACATTTCCAAAATATAATATAAAAAACAAATAAAATAAAACCTACATACAACAACAGTGTTTTGTGTTGTGTAGGCTCCTATGATGTAAGTAATGGGCCCCGCCTGCTAGTCTGCTCCCTAAAATATCATTTGCTCATTTCTATATATAGCGTGCCTACATTCTGCATGTGCAAATGGCTTTAGATACCTATTAGGTCCTTAAATTACTATATAGCATATATTCAACACAAAAAAACAGCAGCAATTTGTTGTTCACAAACGACAACTGGACATATAAAGGGCCCCATTACCTTCAGTAGCTTAGGGCCTCCTCAAACCTAAATCCGGCCCTGCACGCAGTGCGGGGGGTGACAAAATGCTGTGTGGCACTCACCACGGGGCCTGCAGCACGCCTCAGCCATGCGTCTCTCCTGGGAGTGACATGGTGGCTTGGGTGCCTGCAGGCTCCGTGCTCCCTGAAACGGCAGTGTGGGGCTTGCATCTGCCCACTGCCTCTCCCTCAGCTGCCCTACAGCTGAAAGGGAGGCGACAGAGAGGCTCCACGCAGTGCGCCCCGCCCCCGGCTGCAGGACGCATGCGCCACACCGGGCACCCAAGCATCTAGCTACACCACTGGTCATATGCTTTCTCAGTTTAACAACAGGGTTGTTATGACGATTATATAGCACAGGAGAGAACCATTCATAACAGGACAGAATATAGATATACAGTGGTACCTCGGGTTAAGAACTTAATTCGTTCTGGAGGTCCATTCTTAACCTGAAATTGTTCTTAACCTGAGGTACAACTTTAGAAAATGGGGCCTCCTACTGCCGCCACGCCGCCGCCACGCAATTTCTGTTCTCATTCTGAAGCAAAGTTCTTAACCTGAGGTACTATTTCTGGGTAAGCGGAGTCTGTAACCTGAAGCTGTAACCTGAGGTACCACTGTAATAGGTTAAAAATTTATTAACTGAATTATTTTATTCCATGCCCTTCAGCTGCAACCTGGGTGCCTTCAGCCAGTGAAGATTACAAAACAGTAGAGCAATGACAATACAATAAAAACAGAGGCAACATTAATAGACAACACACCTTAAAAGATTTTTGTACTGCCTTTTGACAATAATCTTACAATATGAAAAACAATTTTAAAAAAAGATATTTTTTTAAAAAATGAGTTCAAACAATTGAAGTTGAGATATAAGAAATACTGCCATATTTATTTTAAAATGAAGGAAAAAAGAAATAGCACCATGGAAAATATCATCTAAAGCAAGAGTAATGAAAAGCAGGAGGAGGAAAGGAAACAAAAAGCAAGAGAACAGCCACTCAGCCAAGGATGTTGAAACCACAAACACACGAATGCAGAGGTAGGAGACATTTTTCATCCCAAGGGCTGCATTCCCTGCAGGACAACCTTCCAGAGCGACACAGATGCTCATTTTACCTTTGTTCAATCCATTTGTCTCTACGCAATCTCATGCATCCTCTATCATCCATCCAGATAAGCAAAAAACATGATCAGAATTCAAGGACACATTCCAGCCAAGCAAAAGCACTTGAGCAGAGTGCATCTAAAAAAAAAAAAAAAAAGCACTATTTCTACTGATCCATAATTGGGAACTGTTTCTTGTTACTAAAGTATGGTAAATCCTACTGTCCATTTGCCACAAAGTAGGACTTACTTCTGAGTAAACATACATAGGATTGCACTGTTAAAAGGAAAAGCCGGCTGAGAAGAAGTCTTAATAAGCCAAGATTCTCCTTGAACTACCTAACATTTCTCCTCGGGTTTGATATAAGAAGGAAGGGCATGGAGAATTGGTACAGCATGATAGCTGAGACTGGATTTGGAGTGGCCAGTCCTTTTTCCTAATGAGCCTATAAAGCACAGTGTTTTTAGTTCTAGCACAAATTGAGATTTTAATGGCTTTCAACCCAGCTGTTGGCTCTTGGTCACACTTAAGCGTCTCTAGCCATGTTTTGAGTTCTCATGCACCCACACAAAACTTGTTATAAGTTGGCTTCTTTTGCATCATCGCATCAGTGTGTATTGTAGATATATGTCATGCTCCCTTGTGCGAATTTCCATTTCCCCCACCATTAGAGAAGAGCATCAGGTTCTCCCAGAGGTGCCAACTTGAATAAAATGGAGGGTGGGGGAGTAAGCTCCACCCTGCATAATTGATCACATGATGTGGTACACACAACTATTTGAATGGCAATGCAAATCAACTTGGGGGGAGGGCTTTAATAATAATAATAATAATAATAATATATTTATACCCCACCCATCTGGCTGGGTTTCTCCCCAGACTCTGGCATGGGGAGACTCCTGACTCTGGGTGACTCCCGACATAATATTAAAAACACGATAAAACATCAAACATTAAAAACTTCCCTAAACAGGGCTGCTTTCAAACGCCTTCTAAAAGTCAAATAGTTGTTTATTGCCTTGACATCTGATGGGAGGGCATTCCACAGGGTGGGCGCCACTACCAAGTAGGCCCTCTGCCTGGTTCCCTGTAACTTCACTTCTCGCAGTGAGTGAACAGCCAGAAGGCCCTCGGATCTGGACCTCAGCATCCAGACTGAACGATGGGATGGAGACGTTCCTTCAGGTATACTGGGCCGAGGCTGTTTAGGGCTTTAAAGGTCAGCACCAACACCCTGACTTGTGCTCTGAAATGTACTAGGGTGGCTGAAGGGACCTTTGCCTTTAGGAGTTGGCTCCTATGGGTTTTCCAGTAGTGCAAAATGGCGCTGACTTTAGCTGGACTTGGTCTGTCTAAGGAGGATGTGTCCAGAAACATTTACAAAGTCTACTATGCAATAGCTCCTGCTGTGTTTCATATACAAAGTGGTGTTAGTGAATTGGGTTACCCACCACAGGCTATATATGTACATACTGGAGATTCTGATTGGATTCCCCAATCACATTTGCAAATGAGCTCTCATTTCCTGCTTGCCAGGTTATTTTGTCTCTTTAAATCATTGTCTTAGACTGATGATGCAAAACACTGAGTGGTCCTTGCCGCCAATGTTCAATGTCATCAGACTCAAGGAATGGATAATTAATATTGAAAGGTGTGATTGCAGCCAAGTGGGATGGCTAATCAGCTACTGATTTCTCTCTAATGTCCTAGATTATTTAGAAATCTAATCTCTGTGGGGAGGTAGAGAAAGGGTCTGGGATGGTGGGATCGTAGTAGAAGCATGCTATCCCATTTCAAATATAAACATGGAGCAATTATGCCAGCAAGCTGGTCTCCTCATTATTCATTAGACCACGTTCTCAAGCTATGACAAGCTTTTCCTTGAGAGCTGGCTTGACACTGCCAAGAACAGAGGCAAACAAAATGGCATTTCAGAAAGCCAACGAGAGCCTGAGACAAACACCATGTCACGAACTATGAAGCTGTTCTAGCCATTGGAACCACATTACTTTGGCAATGAAAGCAAACCAAACAACACCAATGCCTTAAGAAGGGAAAGGAACAGCCAGCTCAGACCCTCCAAGTGTCCCTATTTTCCAGGGACAGTCCTGGATTTACAAAAGCTGTCCTGGTTTCTGATTTGATCCCAGAATGTCCTGTTTTTTCTTAGCTTAAAGATAAAGGGACCCCTGAACATTAGGTCCAGTCGTGACTGACTCTGGGGTTGCGGTGCTCATCTCGCTTTATTGGCCGAGGGAGCCGGCATACAGCTTCCGGGTCATGTGGCCAGCATGACTAAGCTGCTTCTGGCAAACCAGAGCAGTGCACAGAAACACCGTTTACCTTCATGCCGGAGCGGTACCTATTTACCTACTTGCACTTTGACGTGCTTTCGAACTGCTAGGTTGGCAGGAGCAGGGACAGAAAAACGGGCGCTCACCCCATCGCGGGGATTCGAACCGCCGACCTTCTGATCGGCAAGTCCTAGGCTCTGTGGTTTAACCCACAGTGCCACCCACGTCCCTCTTTCCTTAGCTTAGGACAGCCCTATTTTTTCATCGGAGAAGTGTTGGAGGGTATGGAATTATGTGACCACCAAGCCAAGGAGATAAGTAACTATACAACCTTTAGAAGACATCTGTATAGGGAAGATTTGTTTTAATGTTTAATGTTTTATTATGTTTTTGTATATTCTGTGCTGGATGGACCAAGGACTCAATATAAGACTTTCTGTGTCCTATATCCATCCTTTAGGTTCTGGGGTGTTGCAAGATTTCCCACATTAAAAGATTATTCATTTCACTATCAATGTAGGTCTGTCATCAGAAGGTCCCATTGCGCATATAAAAGTGGGGGAATCAGAAGATTTAGGGTAGTTTTCTGGAGCTGTTTGCAAAACAATCCATATGGCTCAGAAGAATGGGGGACATATCACATAGAAGCATCTTTAGGTAAAGGACCCCTGGATGGTTAAGTCCAGTCGAAGGCGACTATGGGGAGTGGCGCTCATCT